GACTGCTTAAACCCAGGGGGATCGATCTCCCATTTCTCTAATTTTCAGATTTTTTTTTTTTTTTTCCTTCCGATCTTGTAATAGACATAACTTCTTCATTTTAAAACCAAATGGGGTCATTTTTTAGTCCAAATTGAAGTATTTTGAGTCCTCTTTCCATTAGTACTGGTATCATTTCATATTTATGATTCTAAATGACTATTTTGCCCTTAAAAACCCTATGGGTCAGGTATGAGCCTGAAGTTGGAATATCTCCTTTTTGTGAACCAATGTAGTTAGAAATGAAAAGTATGGTTCCATTATGACTCCTAACACTTAGTAAGGTGTATAATGACCATTTTGTCCTTTGTTTTTGGATCTGGTTAAACCCAGATAAAGATTCAAACCCATGGGTTCGGGTCATTACATGGAAAGTGAGAGGGAACAACCATCAAAGAGAGAGAAGTAGTTACTATAATCTTACTAGGGGTGCAATTTGGGTTGGGCAACCCAAAGCAACTCGAGCCTAGCCCGATTTTTCCCAAGTATAGACAATTATTTTTATTATTAGGGTTGAGTCTGGATTGAAAAATCTTAACCCAAATTTAATTAGGGTTAGGCTTGGGTTGAGGTGCTAACAACCCGAACCTGAATTCTAATATTATTTTCATATACATTTTTAATTTTAATTACATTATATATAATATTGTATGTTAATATTTAAGAAAATAATTTTCTAAGAATTTGTTTGTAATTTATTAAAAATTTACAAAAAGTGCTTTTTTTTTTTTTTTGGTTTAAGAGTAATTTAATCTATAACTAACTCAAGATCATATTAAATTTTCCCTGTGAAGATTAGCCATATGAGTAACCCGAATTTTTAACCCGATATCTAAGCCCAAGTAACAAGCCTGAATGTAAAAGTAGAAGGATGGGCTGGGCTTAAGTTAAACAGTTAGAGTTGAAGATAGGATTAGGGTTGGGCTTGTGTTTAGCATTTTATAAGATGGGTTGGGCTCAAGTTATACCTCAAACTCACCCAACTTGCCTGAATTGCAACCTTAAATCTTACAAATCCAAACTACTATGTAGACCCATCAATGTCATACCAGTATTTTTTTTGGAGAGTCAAAAGTCTTTTTCTTATCTCTCCGATTCATGATAGATAGGTGTTTAAACTTGTATGAGATAAAAGACTAAAATTTTTATTGTAGAATAGGTTTAAAAAACCTTGGAAAAAACACAATCACAATGGGACACTATTCCAATAATAGATCCAAACTAGGATATTATTTATTTCCAAACCTATGTCCCTGAAGGGCCACAAATAGACTAGAGGAGGTAGAAGACAACAATGACTTCATTAAATAAACTGACTTCATTGATAACAATGTGTGGAGACTTGCGCTATTTAGATGCACACAGTCATAGTTTCTCACCCATTTATTAAAGGGTTAAGTGCAAAAAAAACCCTAATATATAGGGTTTGTGCAAAAATAATCCCTACTTTTTTTAAATGTGCATTTCAGTCCATAAAATTTTTAAAATGTGCAAATAAGCCCATTTAACCACTTTTTGGTCATAACCCTGTAAGGATAAGTGGTATAGTGCTAGCAATACATGCTAGCAAAGCTTTGTTGGATTGCTAGCCACGTCAGCAATTGTGCTGATGTGGCTAGCAACAGTATATTGCTAGCCAGTTTACACAGTATGGGTTAATTGATATCTATTACTTTATTATTTTTTGTTGTACTTTTTTAATACATTTAATATTTTGAGTAAAAAAAATTTAAAACATATTTATTTTTTTGTTTGCTTGTATTTTTTAAAACGGTTACTTTTTCAACCACTTGATATTTTTTTTATTATATATTGCTATATTTTAGTCACGGCATGGGTTAATTGATATCTATTATTTTATTATTTTTACTTGTATTTTTTAAAACGGCTACTTTTTCAACCACTTGACTTTTTTACATAAAAAAATTACAATAAAATTAAATTACATATAAAAGGAAATAGTAAAAAAAAAAAAAAAAAAAAAAAAAAAAAAAAAAAAAAAAAAAAAAAAAAAAAACCATTTCTAACAATATGATATTTTGTTTTAAAAAATTCATATATATTTGTTGACAAATTTTTTAAAAATTTTTTTCAAAAGACTAAGAAATAGAAATCATAAATATTTATTTCAAAATAAAAAATAAAATAAAATAAAATAATCAAAATCATAAATTTATTTTTTACAATAAAAATAAATTACATATAAAAAGAAATAGTAAAGAAAAAAAACCAAAAGAACAAAAAAAACAAAAAAAAAAAATGGAAAAGGGCCGTTGCTTGTGGGCCAAAGAAAAAAAAAAAAAACAAAACAAAACAAAAAAAGAAAAGGGACAAGAGCCGTTGAATTGAGGGCGTGGGGCTTGTTTGGCTCATAAAGGACTTGTTACCTTTTGCGATGTCCTTTGCTAGTTTTTCTGTGGGTCCTAGAATTTGCTAGCTTCATACCAATTCACATACTAGCAAAACTGACTCGAGCTAGCAAACAAGCCCTTGTATCGGTTGCTCTAACTGAAGATCAACCCAGTACTACACTACTCATTACTGGGTTATATCTATTCTAGGTAAAGTTTACTTCCTGCACGAAAATTAAATACCCAATATAATATAGTAACTTCAATTCATCAGTTTTATGTTTGAAATCCACAAAACAAGTGATCATGAGTACAAAAAACTAAAGTTGTAGCTAGGGCTTGCTCTATATGGTTTGTGAGAACAAATGAGAAGCAAAACAAAAAGGAAATGAGACTAGTATATCATATATCATATATATGTGTGTGTGCGCGCGCGTGACTGTGTGTGAGAGTGACGACGGAGGAGCTAGTTACTTTGATAAATTAATAGACTAAAGTAGTCGGCTTAAATATCATAATTCGACATTTAATCATGTTCAGTACATGCAGAAACAAGATCATCCAAATGCTATTAAAATCTAAACTAATTTCCAAAAAGATCATAATTAAGGGTTCAAACTTAATAGGAAAACCACATGCAGGAACAAAATCACCAATTAATACTTACAACCTAGCGTGTTCCACACACGCTCCAAACTTGAGCGTGCTTTAAAAGCTAGGGTTCCCCATCGCTAAAGTAAAGCAAGTACAATTCTCCCATCAAGTAACTGGAGACAGAAAGGTTCTGATAGAGTGGTCATAATAATATGGGTAAAGTGCAAATAACCCCCCTGTACTGTTGACAAATTGCAACTAACCCCCCTAAACTAAAAAAAACCCCCTAAACTATGAATTTGTTGCATTTCAGTCCATTCCGGTGACTGACTTAATCGGAAAAATAAAAAGTCTGAATTGCCCTTATGATTATTCACTACTGTATAAGGTATATAAATATATATATATATATATATATATATATATATATATATATATATATTTCTGGTTTTAAACTGAATTTATATATATGTGTTTATATATATATATAACATTGGAGATTGAAGAGAGAGAGAAGCATCAGGCTAGAGATTGAATCGTGAAGAAAATGAAGGAAAAAGATGGTGGCGGCGGCGGCGATTATGGTGACGGAAGAGGAGGTAAGTCGGCGATTATGGTGACGATGCGGAGTCAACGCGTTAAAACCCAAATCATCCTCATTGCCGCTGGGATCTCGCTGCCGTCATCTCCAGCGCCTGCCCTGCCACCGTCTCTTGCGGTGACAGCTGGAACGAGCTCGGATGGTGGAGAGGACCGGCGAGCAAGGTGGGCTGAACGGCGATGGGCTGGTTCAGCCATGGTTAACTCGCGACGATGGGCTGGTTGTGCTTAGCTGCACAGCGGCCGAGCTTCGCCTCATCCGCCAACCTCCCTGTTCCGATCGGGACGGTCACCCACTTCTCGTTTTCATCGACCCCAAATTACTCCGCAATCATTCTCCACAAGTGCTTCCACTTGAACAGATCGTCGTTGCTGCAATTGAAAGCTTCGTTGCTCGCGTACGCATCCATCGCCGCCCATACTAGTGCTCCGCTATCAGACCGGAATCCGACGCCACCGAGTAGCAGTTCCATGCCGCCTTCGTTCCCGAGGGAGAACCAGAGATTGTGTTTGAAGGGGGTGATGGCAGTGGGTTAGTGGGGGTTTGGTTTCACGGTGTGTGATGGGTTTGATGGAGAGAAGGTTGGGCTGTGGTTGGTGATGACGGGTGATGGTGGTGGCGGGATTGGGGTGGTGGCTGTGGGTTTGTGTACTGGTTCGATTGGGTTTGGTGGTGTGCCGTTGAGATGCCGATGGAGGTGGTAATGATGGTGGTGGGTTTGATTTTCGTTTAACGGTGTGTTTTGGCATGAGTTCAGGAGGGTTTCGTGGTGGTTATGTTGGTGGTTGCGGACGGTGGTGGTGGTTGCAGAAGGTGGTGGTGGTCGTAGACGACGGTGGTGGTGGTTATATGATAATTTGGTATTTTCATATATATATAAGGGCATTATTGTCCAAAAAACTTAGTTTGTCTGTCGCGTGTGAATCACGCGCTCATTTTTGGACGGCCGGTCACCGGATGGGGTGATCTGCAACTTTTTTGTATAGTTTGAGGGGTTTTTTGTATTTTTGGTAGTTCAGGGGGTTAGTTGCAAATTTCCCCATAGTTCAGGGGGGTTATTTGCACTTTACCCTAATAATATACCAAAGAGAGAGAGCTTTGTACTCAGACGATACTACTAAAAAGTTAAAAAAGTAGAAGAAAATGAGAGATTAGAGAGGTTTTGATCAGCCCCTGCAACTCCAACTAGGCTATTCAATGCAAAAAGCATTTATTTTCTGGGACTGCACTGCAGAGACGTATCATCACTATGTGTTTCTTCATCACCACTCTCTGTGCACTTATTTTTTTGGCACTATTTTTCTCTCTAGTCTTTACTATAATTACTCTTACCTGCATTTTGTTTCATGTATATATAGGAAATATTGTTGCTACGAGCATATATTGTAGCTACGATTAAAACTTAATCATTGTTAAAAAAAAAAAAGACTAGGATGTTGAACTTTTCTCTTAGATAATTCACAAGTCATTTGTGCGCTATAGGGTAAATAGTGCGGGCATTTGCTTGAACTTTTGGAAAAAAATAAAAGAAAAAAAAGAAAGACAATTTTGTAGGTCATTCACTGGTTCTCTCCCATCTGGTGTCCCCAATAAGTAACTTTTTTTTTTTTTTTCCTTCCTGACAATAAGAACAGCCATACGGCATCTACAAAGCACAACCAAAGAAAACAACCCTACTCAAAGGCATACAACAAACACCAAACAAAACCACCATAATATGAGATATGGACACAAAGACCCTGCACCCATAAAGCATTCCACGTCCCACCAGCCCAAACTAAAATCCATAGTCAATTGGTCCTTTTTAATTGCAGGCCACAAATATGGGCTTAAAGCTGGACCAAACTGAACATCAGCCCTAGTTAAGAGGCCCACCATTACCTCAAACTCAGTTCTCCAACGAACATGTTATCTGCCGGCTTCCTTTTCGTAAACATCTCTAGCAACATTCATTCGTAGCTATAAACATCACATTTCGTAGACACTCTTCCTTCAGAATCATACGCTGTCAAACAATTCAAAAGTTTCAAGAAGCACAATGAAAAGAAATTTTATAGTTCACTTTCATGAACTTGGACTTGTCTATGAAAGATATGCATGTTTTAGAAGATATATATATATATATATATATAAAGAAAGAAAGAAAGAAAAGATAATCAAGTAGTGAGCTAAGCTGGACTCTATTGTGTTGCATTTCATTTTCAACCCTAGCATATGAGTCACACAACTAAGCATTTAAAATACCAGCCTGAGCATACAATATAGTGAAGTGTTTATTATGTTTAAACAATACAAGAAATATGTTATTCAATTAGAAGCCCAACCGACCATTAATATGTTGGCCCTAGAACTGAAAGCCTCATCGAGAACACGTTTGAAATTGGGAAGATGAGAAGCCACAACAAGACATAAGTTTCACCACTCTTAGAAATGTAACAATAATTTTAGAAAATGAAGGCAGCAGAATGCGAAAAGATTTACCTGGTGCAATGTAGCCGAGTGTACCTAAAGTCTTGGTTTGTGCTGCAGTCTTGTCAACTAAAATTTTTGCAATTCCAAACTCTCCCACATGAGCAACCATTTCTTCATCTAAAAGAACCACAATGGACCAAAGGCTCCGGTTGACAATCAGGGAGATATTCCAAAGCTAGCAACATCATACATGACGCTCACTCTTTGAAGGAAATCTAGGCAATAGTTCTCAGAATATAACCACTTCTCAAGACTTCTGTTAGACATGTACTGCAGAACCAAAGCTCTTAACTCGGGATTGGAGCATGTACTTATGACCTTTACTAAATTCCGAAGGCGTACATTTCGCAGCACTTCACATTCTGCATCAAAGCTTTTAAAAGCTCCGTCAAGTTCCAAATTCAATATTTTTACAGCGATGATTGTCCCATCTAAAAGAACTCCTTTGTATACAGAACCGTAGCCTCCTGATCCAAGCAAGTTGGCATCACAAAAATTATTTGTGGCATGGTGAAGCTCCGTATATGATATCATTCTATGCTCCATTATAGATATCGAGTCAACTGAATTTGAACTACATGCTTTATTTCCTCAGCATTGTATCATCAAATAAATCAAAACAACAAAGATTACTACTGATGCAACTACTGGAAGAATATATTTGGGAAAAACTTGTTTAGTCCGTGTTCTCTGCGTATTGTACATTTTGCAAGCCGAAACTTGCAGAATTGACGGCCCACAGAGATCCTCATTTGCGATAAAAGATTGAGCAGTAAAGTTAACAAAAGTGCCCTCATTTGGAATCTCTCCGGAGAGCTTATTGAAAGAAAGATTCAAATATTTGAGATGGGAAAGTTCTTCTAAGGACTTAGGGATGGTACCTGACAAATTGTTGTAAGAGAGATGCATGAATTCCAATGAAATCAAGTCACCAAATGATTCCAGAATTGTGCCCCGTAATCAGTTCCTTGACAAATTGAGGGAGCTAAGACTTTGGGAGGATCCAATAGCTTGAGGAATGCTTCCTTGTATATTGTTCCAAGATAAATCTACAACGTCAATGACATTTGGCATTTTCATTTGTGATGGCAGGTAACCACTTACAGAATTATTTGATAAATCCAAGAGCAGCAGAATTTCAAGGGCCCATAAGCTCACCGGAATGGAAGAGGAAAGATTGTTATTTCTTAAGATTAACCTTTGTAAAAGACAGATTCCCCATGCAAGTTGGGACTGGGCCAGAGAGGTTATTACTTTGAAGATGGCCAAATCTCAACGGGAATAAGTCCTTCAATCTTGTTACCATCAAGATACAACCGTTGTAATCCTCCAATTGTTGATGGGATGCATCCATTTATGTTGTTGTTGCTCAATCTACGGAACTTCAAGTTTTTCAATGAACCGATTTCTCCTGGAACCGGACCCTTAATTTGACATTTAGAGGCAACAAAAGTTTGAAGCGAACACGAAAATTTTCCAATTGAATTTGGCAAGATACCTTCAGTGGGATTGCTCTCGAAGACCAACCTTTCCAAAGATTTGCACTTTGTCAAAGCAGTGAGAAAAGTAATTTCCCCATTTCTATTTTCTCCCGTGAGTCAATTTTTTTGCATATTGAGTGTTCTAAGGAGATGTAAGTTGCCTAAGCTAGGAGATATTGGCCCAGTAAATAAGTTGTGAGCCAGCGACAGTCTTGTGATCTTAGAAGAGTTAGATAGATACAAGGGGATGTTTCCACCCAACTGATTGCCTTCTAGATTTAATTCTTCAAGATTAGGAAGCCAAAAACCAATAGTTGATGAAAGATTTCCATCAAGAGTATTGGAAGGCAGGTCAAGGAATTGCAGAGCAGACCTGTTAAACATTTGCTCCGAAATACTACCAGTGAGATTATTTGTATGTAAGTTCAGTACCCTTAAATTCGAAAGTTGTGAGATCTCCCCAGGAATCTCTCCTTGAAGGTGATTATTTCCAATCTCAAGCCCAAGTAAACTTGAAATGTTACCAAGGGAAGGAGGAATCGTACCGGTTAAGTTGTTCCTTCCAAGATAAAAAATCTCTAGTGTTTGTAGATTCCCAATGTCATTCTTCCCTCGAATCTATTCTACAATGAGATATCGAGGTTGGAATTTGGCCACCGAAATGGTTGAAAGAAAGATAAAGTCCTTCGAGTTGAGGACAAAGTAGGCAAATGTCCATTGGAAGACTACCAGAGATGCTATTATTCATGAGAGAAATGGTACGTAAAGAAGAGATGTTAAAGATAGTCTGAGGAAATGAACCTGTCAATGCATTGTATTCGAGTGCCAATACCTCCAATGTTGAGATGTTGCCTAGACAGGATGGGATAGTACCCATGAAATCATTGCTCGCAAGACCAAGAAAATAGAGGTTGGACAATGTACCCAACTCTTCCGGTATGACTCCATTGAATCTGTTGTTCAAAAGCCCCAGGACTTCAGGCTTTCGGCATTGGTTTAATGTTTGGGGCAATTGTCCTTCCATCTTGTTCTCATCTAAAATGAGATCTTGCAGACGACCCAAACGTCCAATCTCGTGTGTTAAAGTGCCATGGAAACTGTTGTTTGAAAGATCTAGAGTCACGAGAAAGGAGAGATTGGCAACATAAGGAGAGATGGTTCCTTGTAGTCCATGCCAGGAAGCTCCAAGGCTGTGACTCTTTGTCTGTGTGGACGACAGGTCACACCAAGCCAGCTGCAGAAGTTGGTAGTTCTGCTCCAATTACTACCCAATACATTGTTTGGATCAGGCTTGATCTAATTCTTGAAGTGGAGGAGAGCCAATTGATCTGTGAAGTTTAAGCGAGGAAGTGCCAAACAAATTATGCGTGACTGCAATACCAGCACTCCTAATAAAATATGCATGTAAACGTATACGCTCTCCATGAGAATCACAATGTATATATATTCTCATGAAACAAAAGGAAAATGTTTTTAAAGCCGGAGAGTTGAACGCTTAACGTATCTTGCCCAATCAACAGTTTCAATCAAGGAATTTTGTTCAACTCCTCGAAACAAAATGCACTATAAACTGATGCAGCATTAGATCAAGGCAATACATAGAAATATTCAAATCTCAAGTTGTAGGTTTTTAAAATTATATAGTTCATGAAGATTAATGTTGACTTACAATAGAGAGACACCAAAATCCAGCCAATAACCGATGCACTGTGCATGATACATTAAAACCATTAAATGGATGGTTGACTTGGTGAAACGTGGATCTCTTTGTATATGACCTGATTGATGACAATTGAAAGGTATACATTGTTAGTTTATTAGTTAAATTTAATTCATTTGTTGAGTCAAAAATTCCTTTTGAATTGTTCATTAGAATATAATAATTATACATGTTCAGATATAGATATACATGCATGATGTATTAAAATGATTAAATGGATGGTTGACTTAATGAAACATGCATGATATCAATGAAACTTTATTGGTTTTCAACATACAGATTGGTGGAGGTTTGTTGGCATATTGCATTGAATTTTAATTTGATTGAGGTCAATTGTTAGATGGTCAGGGAATGTCAATTACTAGCTGACACCCAAGTAAAAAAATAAATGTTGAATAAAGCTCATGCATTTACTTACGCGTTAGCTAGTGACATCATCTAAAAATATTCTCGGCCTGAATTTTTAATTTTAACACTGCCGTTAAAAATTATGGAAAACAGAGAATGCAAAAAAGCATCAGTTAAATCATAGAAAGGGAAGAAGATAAAAGCTTTTTTAGCACTTTTAAGTCATGTTGGTCAAACAAAGACGCCTGATTAAATCATAAAATAGTAGCATCAGTAATGCTTTTTTTTATATCTTAGAAGTTACAATATATATATATATATATATATATCACGGATATATGTGTCCCATGCAGGCAAGAATATCTGTACTTTCCTTTTCTGGAAGCACATTGTGAAGTCAAAGGATAGGATGCTGAGTAAGGGCCGACATGATCCCCTATACAATGGAAATCTACAATAAACAAAACAAAAAATAAAAAATAATCACAAATCAGATACTAGGGGTGCAACTTAAAAAAATATATATATAGTCCTTTATGATCGAGAAATGAAACCAATACAAAGATGATGACTTTAAAATGATTTTTTTTTTTTTTTTGAGTAAATTGTCCCCCCTCCTCTTTTTTTTATGAAGAAAAGATTTCCCAAGCGCAATCTTTTGACAGAACAATGGTGTTAAAATTCTAATTCCGGTTAAGCTTGTTGCAGATTTGTAACGAGAATCGGGTTGGGCTCGAGCTAGGTTTGAAATATTGGCTGCCCAAGTTGCATCCTAGTTCATAAAAAACCATATATATATATATATATATATATATATATATATATGTGTGTGTGTGTGGTTTTTTTTTTTTTATTTTTTTTTTGCTCTGTGGTTTTCTCAGTCCAAAGATAGATAGGATAGCTAATGAATTCAGAATGCTTTTTCACAAGGTCCTTAATCCTCCTCTCCTCCATGTACTCCAACTACAAGAAATCAACAACATAAAGTAAGTACCAAGCAACCGAATTTGAGGATTCAAACAATCCCAAACAACTTATCTGTTTGGTTTCAAAGAAAAACAGAGGGATTCAAACTTCCCATGGTTTAGAGACAAATATAACAATTTGGAGTTTCAAAAACCAACATTACATTCACGACGTTACTCAGGTTCAATTCAACAGCAACAAAGCAACAAGGTAAGCAGAGTAGAAGCCAACACCGAATTGACCAATCATGCTCACATCTGTCACAATCGTTGTGCTTTGTTTTTTTTTTTTTTTTTTTTTTTTTTTTTATAAGTGACTCTTAATCAACTCGTCCATCCCAACAGAGAGCACAATCTCTGGGTTGAATGGGTGCACTGCTACCTATTGAAGGTTAAATGTTTATGGAAGGAACGTATACATACCTCAGTAGGCTTCATGGACCTGGAGCAAGCTCTTGCAGTTGAGACCCTTGCTTGGCCTTTCATCAAACACCATGTGTGCAACGGGAGATCCACCTTTTTCTGGCTTAACTGTATGAACTTGTGCCCACTTTGCTGCTAGAGTTAGCTCCCTTTCTACACACATCTTCACCGCAATTTATGTACCAAATCATTTGTGTGGATTCGAGTTGCCTGTTGAGTTTTCATGGAACGAGATATATAATACAGATATAAAAAATTAAAAAAAAAAAGTGAAAATTTTCTGTATGGTAGTGCTTTGCTTGGCTGCCAAAAAAACTAAAAAACAGAGGAAGAGTTAAAACAAAGAAAAACAAACAAGCCTCGCGGTTTGGTAGAGTGGGTAAGGAAATGGCCTGACCATATGTCCTGAGTCCTTCTATCCTTATTATATATATATTTTTTTTTTGAATGAAATTGATGTTAAGGTGTAGGGCCGGCGACAACATCTCAGGTTTGTAATTAGAGTGAGTCCTGAAGGAGCCCTACCTAGTGGAGTTCTTAATGCCAACCAAAAAAAAAAACAATTCTTAGCAGTGATTCCAATTCAAATCTTGTTAGATTCAAAATTATCTTTTTCCTTGAGTTTTGGAGGCTAAACAAAATGAAAATAAAATTAAAAAATATATATTATCTAATAAAATCCCTCTATTTCTTAATACTCAACTTGAAAAGAAAAAAAAAACAATTCTTAACCGTGATTCCAATTCAAATCTTGTTAGATTCAAAATTATCTTTTTCCTTGAGCTTTGGAGGCTAAACAAAATGAAAATAAAATTAACAAAAATATTATCTAATAAAATCCCTCTATTTCTTAATACTCAACTTGGCTGAAAAGATAAGTTGATTGGTTATGTTTGCAAAACAATGAATGATGTTTGGTCAACAATTTCACGTGACTAAATAGTTGCATAATATAAATATTTTTAGGAAAAAATACATAACCCTTTCGTCTAAAAAGTTCCTATTAAAATTAAACACTCCCTAGATTAATAAAATTCATCAAATTGCTCCCAAATCGATATAAAATGATAAAACTGTCCTTAGAAGTTAATTATTAAATTTAAGGGATTATTACATATAAATTAACTTAGTGGCCCATATTTACCCATACATTGAGTCAAAGTCAATAATTTCTCTAAAATGTGTTTGACCCAAAAGTTGGGGTGACACATGAAAAAATATCATATTTCTGTTACCTAAAATACCCTTCTTCCTATTTTATGTGTTGCCTAAAATGCCCTTTTGCGAAGGTACCACTTTTTTTTTTCAAAGGTACCACATTTTTGGACTGAAGGTACCACTTTTTGGCGTGCAGGTACCATGTTTTCTAAACACTCGTTTAGCTAGATTGGAGAATATTTTGTGTTATTCATGGCTTTAACGGAGCTGTTTATGGATGTAATGTGCAACCTAATAAGCGGTGTGGGGTTTAATACCATTTTTAATTGCAAAAATACTTGTTTTTGGCGTCGAAATACCTTGTTTTCTAAACACTCTAGCTAGCTTGGAAAATATTTTGTGTTATTCATGGCCCTAATGGAGCTATTTATTGATCCACTGTGCAACCTAATTAGCGGTGTAGGGTGTAATACCATTTTCAATTGAAAAAATAAGTCTCTTTTGCGAACGTACCACTTTTTTTCCAAAGGTACCACGTGTTTAGACTGAAGGTACCACTTTTTGGCGTCCAAGTACTGTGTTTTCTAAACACTCGTTTAGCTAGATTGGAGAATATTTTGTGTTATTCATGGCATTAATGGAGCTGTTTATGGATGTAATATGCAACCTCAATAGTGGTGTAGAGTTTAATACCATTTTCAATTGCAAAAAAAAGTCCTTTTTTTTGGCATCGAGGTACCATATTTTCTAAACACTCTAGCTAGCTTAGAGAATATTTTGTGTTATTCATGGCCTTAATGGAGCTATTTATTGATCCAATGTGTAACCTAATTAGCGGTGCGTGGTGTAATACCATTTTCAATTGCAAAAATAAGTACCTTTTGAGAAGGTACCACTTTTTTTCCAAAGGTACTACGTTTTTGAACTGAAGGTACCACTTTTTGGCGTCCAGGTACCATGTTTTCTAAACACTCGCTTAGCTAGATTGGAGAATATTTTGTGTTATTCATTGCGTTAAAAAAGCTATTTATGGATGTAATGTGCAACCTAATTAGCAGTGTGGGGTTTAATACTATTTTCAATTGCAAAAATAAGTCTCTTTTTTTTTGCGTCGAGGTACCATGTTTTCTAAACACTCTAGCTAGCTTTGAGAATATTTCGTGTTATTCATGGCCCTAATGGAGCTATTTATTAATCCAATGTACAACTTAATTAGCCAATAAGCTACCAGGTACCATGTTTTCTAAACACTCGCTTAACTAGATTGGAGAATATTTTGTGTTATTCATTGCATTAATGGAGTTGTTTATGGATGTAATATGCAACCTAATTAGCGGTGTGGGATTTAATACCATTTTCAATTGCAAAAATAAGTCTCTTTTTTTGGCGTCGAGGTACCATGTTTTTTAAACACTCTGGCTAGCTTTGAGAATATTTTGTGTTATTTATGGCCCTAATGGAGCTATTTATTGATCCAATGTGCAACTTAATTAGCCAACAAGCTACCATTCACATCATGGAAGCTCACTATTTCCATCTTAATCCATCAAGGCTTATAAGATGTAATTTCCTCGACTTTTGATATAATTTTTGCTGTAGAGTAATTTCTTAGTGTAACTTAGTTGTTAGTACTATAGCTCAATGTTCATTTGCACTTTTCCATGTTATATATTCTGCACGGTTAGTGAAAATTTTCCAAAGGCCATTTGTTGGTAAGAATCAGTGATTTTTATTATTATTATTTTTTGAAGTTGTCTTTTGTCTCTTAATATCAAATATATATATATATATATATATATCTAGTACAAATCTGTTAATTCTTTCATAGTTGTGTTAATTGGGCAAATTTTTTTTTTTTCGTGTTACCCATAATAGTGCTGTCTTTTTTGGCAAATTATAAATTCTTTTTTAATTTTGATGATTCTTTTTAAAATTATTATTATTCAAAGTTTCGAATTGTCTGTTTTTATATTGCTTTTGTTCCTTATTATTATTAAACAATGCCTTAATATCTTAATTTTTATTGCATGTGACAGTTACAGAGACAAAGTGGTTTTTTTGTTCCAACTACACACAGAGACACAGAGAATGCATGTCCATCAAATACACAAACAAGAGGACTCTCACTAGGACCACACAAAGGAAAAGGGCCACAAAATGATTTACCACATAACAAGGAAATACATACCTATATTTACCCAATTGGGAGTTAGAGGATGTGGGATAGAAAGATCTCAAAATCCAAAAAGTACTTGAAATGATGTAGGATATGGGACATATGTAATGTTGAACAGTGTCATTTTTTTTGCTGCTATTTTGCAATCTGTTGGTGTGAGCTATTTTTCTACTTTTAAAAAAGAATAACTGTGCAACTTTTTATTGTGGATTAGGTTGGTATGTTTTTGCAACCATTGTATGACGTATGATACTGGCATCTACCTTAAATGGAATGAAATGAAGTTCTCTTTTGCATTGGGTTTTTATGAATTAATATTGTATGGCTTATTATATTAGAGCCTTACTGAATTTTCTTCGACTATTACATGAATGTAGTATCAAAAATATTTCATTCCAAAATTGAAGCAATTGAATGAATAAGGGTAGTTTTGTAACTCTGCAATGGTCAATAAAGTTAAAAATGTCATTTCAGCCATTGTAAAGGGCAAAATTGACCTTCTACCCATTTATCCATCCTGACATCAGCACTAAACGTTTGTTACTTAAAGGCAGGGGGTAAGTTGATACGTATGGTATTACACCCTACACCGCTAATTAGGTTGCACAGTGGATCAATAAATAGCTCCATTAGGGCCATGAATAACACAAAATATTCTCCAAGCTAGCTAGAGTGTTTAGAAAACATAGTACCTCGACGCAAAAAAAAAAGGACTTATATTTACAATTGAAAATGGTATTAAACTCTACACCGCTAATGAGGTTACACATTACATCCATAAACAGCTCTATTAATGCCATGAATAACACAAAATATTCTCCAATCTAGCTAAACAAGTGTTTAGAAAACATGGTACCTAGAGGCCAAAAAGTGGTACGTTCAGTCCAAAAACGTGGTACCTTTGGAAAAAAAAGTGGTACCTTCGCAAAAGGGACTTATTTTTGCAATTGAAAATGGCATTATACCATACACCGCTAATTAGGTTGTACAGTGGATCAATAAATAGCTCCATTAGGACCATGAATAACACAAAATATTCTCCAAGCTAGCTAGAGTGTTTAGAAAATATGGTACCTCGACGCCAAAAAAATGGACTTATTTTTGCAATTGAAAATGGTATTAAATCCCACACCGCTAATTAGGTTACACATTATATCCATAAACAGCTCCATTAACGCCATGAGTAACACAAAATATTCTCCAATCTAGCTAAACGAGTGTTTAAAACATAGTACCTGGACGCCAAAAAGTGGTACCTTCAATCCAAAAAGTGTTTAGATAAATTATTGACTTTGACTCAATGTATGGGTAAATATGGGTCGCTAAGTCCATTTATATGTAATAATCCCTAAATTTAAAACTTATAATATTATTGTAAAATTATAAAATTATCCCTAGGTCGTCATCCTCAAAACAATGGGTGACGCAGAGTTGGTGGGTACTTGGGTTATGGATGAAGAAAAGAAGGGAAAGAACAGTTTCATCTTTTTCAGGGGGTGGTGGCGAGAGTGATGACTGATGAGTTTCAGTGGGGGTTACAGTCTCATATAATTGCATACTTTTTTTTCCCAAGAATAAATAAGGAAAATTAAATATTCCCCTATTTAATTGTGGTCCCTTCCGGCACTGTCCGGCAAAGCAGGAGAGAGAGAAAGAAGGTTATTTCACTCACTCTCTCTATTTGTCTCTCAAATTTTATTTCTTTTTTTTTTTTCTTTTTCTGGTTGATCTTCCAACTTACTATAGTAATCGGAAAAAAAAAATTAGGATCTTTTGCGGCCTTTAAAACTCAACGTGAAAGCCGCTTTGAAGGAACGGTAGTCAGCATTGGCGAACGGCGGACGACTGTAGCGACTCCTTCATTCTCTTCACAAAAGCAACATCTGCCTCTACAAATCACAATATATACATGTATATATATACATTGAGAAAGTTCTGAATTTTCTAGATACATATACTCCGTATTATCCATCAATTGAAATCTCTTGAATCAGATTTTTAAAATTTTTCTTTTAAGTTTATGAATCATAATGAGTAATTACAGGCACCAAACTAATCTGGGTTTATTATTCAATTACAAAAATAAAAAATTGTAAATATTATTGATTTTGTTCTAAACTTTCTGGGTATATATGCCCTTTTGCTGCCTTCTCTATATGTTTCAATGTTTCTAAGAATTTTTGCAATGATAGGAATCAGAAACTAAAAAGAAAGAAGAATAAAAAAAGACTAAAAAGAAAGAAGAAAAAAAAAAAAACAGTGAAGCGAGATGATTGTCGGACCCGACCTTGAACGAGACAATGGACGTGGCGGTCTCCGGGAACTACTCCATAATGAGCATCTTCGCGCCGTGATATTCAAACAAGAATAGGAGGAGAGTGTACCAGATAATGCACTGTAACACCACCGCCTGAACCATGAGGTTGCCGGAGAAGTCGCCGTACATGGCGATCAAGAGAGGGATACCAACCAACTCAGGGGTAGTTTTGTAATTTTATAATAATATTATAAGTTTTAAATTTAATAATTAAGCAGTTTTGTCATTTTATATCAATTTGGGGGCAACTTGATGAATTTTGTTAGTTTAGGAGAGTGTTTAATTTTAGTGGGAGTTTTTTGGACAAAAATGATAGGGGGGTTATATGATTTTTCCCCAACATTTTTAATATTATTTTTAAGCTATGAAACAGGGACACATCTAGGAATGAACTGTATCTCTGTTGTGTCGTGTCGGTGTCGTCTGACGTGTCTAACACTTCATATACATGTTCGTAAATAAAAATAATTTTTTTTTTTTTTTATTATTTTGGATACTTTCTCAACACTTCGCAGACACTACTCCAACACTTCAAAATATTTTAACACATGTCTAACTCGTAATCTTAAAAAGAATATTAATACATTATAATGTATTTAACTTTTTTCTTGAAGAAAAATTAACATTATACACATATGATCACAGGCAAAGCATTAAAGTATATTTGTTCACTTAAAATAAGAACAGTAGCATGATAAAGTAGTGGAATAACTGTGTGTGTGTGTGTATGTGTGTGGGTAAAGTGCAGTAATACTTCATGAGGTTTGTCAAAATGACACACATGTGAAACTTATCTGTTTTTTTAGACAAAAACATCCCTTAAAGATTCAAAAATGAATAAAGACACTCTAGACATGAGAAATTGACAAAATTACACTTCGACCATTTAGGGACATTATACTTTACAATTTAATAAAATTGGAGTAATCTACCCTCATGAACAATTTATATTAAAAAAAAAAAAAAAAAAAGGGCCCCCCCCCCCCCCCCCCCCATTTACTACTTCACAGTTCTCCAATTTAGATAATCATTAACAAGAATTTTAATACTACATGTCTAACAATTCATGGTACTACTTGCGCAGGTATATCAAACTAAACCTTATTTATCAATTGCAATGTAAATTGGAAATTAACTCATTCTCATGCCATTAATCTATCATATACTTCCAATATGCCAATTGGTTCCCCGTACTCTAAATACATGTGGGACAATCCTTAAATTAGTTTCCGAATGATGCTCAATTTCTAATCGAAAATAACTAAGATTGCATTGCTGGGTTAAAAGAACAAATTGAGAACGAAGTATGGAATAATTACTGAATAAGCTTTTTTCATGGGTTCAAAGGATACCAATTTTTTAGGGTTCGTGAATAAGCTTTTTTAATTTTTTTGCTCTTTTAATTTTTTTTCTTTTTAATTTAGGGGGATTTTTTCATAAGCAATGATTACAAATTTATGAACAAATTGACTGTTGGAGATTACAAGGAAGATGGAAGAAATTAAGGAGAAGAGAGATTGAATAAAAGTATTGACTAACTATGATAAATTAATTATTAAGGTAATAAATATTAACTATGGTTAGGTCTGATAAAGTAATATTATGTAATTGACTATTTGACTATTGGTCCGTTGAAAAATCCGTTCTTTTAGACTGCATGAGAATGAGAGCCTTCCTGTGTGTGTGTGTGTGTGTGTGTATATATATATATATATATATCTTTATCTCTCCGTCTTGATAATATAAACATATAAAAGTTAATAATTAAACATCATCAAATCATTTTTTGCTTGGTATTCTCCAAGTAGATTGATCCACCATCAGTTTTGTATTTTTATACAAAATATATAACAAAATTTTATAACAAAAAGTCATGCAATCCAATCATTCACAATTTACACCGTGCAACAAAACTTATATTTACACAGTACAGATTGAATGAATAAAGATTACACTTTTATAAGTCAAGTTCATAAGCCTTTTATATATAAAAAATAAAATAATATATTAATAATTAAAAATTTAATCTATAAGCGAAAGTATAATTATCAATTAATATACTTGTTAATTTTTTAGTGTATATATTGTTGTGTGTTAATTTCTAAGTGGCATACTTTTTAATTACTAGTAGTTTGCTGAGTAATTTATAAAATAATCATATCAATATATATATTTATATAAACTTTTGTTAATATACATATTATTTTTGTTACAAAGTAATTAATATACTTTTTTTTTCCTTATTTTTTTTAATTAATTTGTTAAATAAATTTTATGTTTGTTTGTCTATTTGATGTAATTTTGAAATATATTTTATAATAAAATAAATATATCATAAAAATAATTGGTTCCAAATTTAGTGTTTGTAGGCCACCCTTTTTTTTTTTTTTTTTTTTGTGTCCTGACAAAGAAAAGAAGCTAAACAGAATCAGAAGACAAAGCATAAGAGAGCCAAGATGGGAGAGAGGCCCAAGAAAGAACAGAAGAAGAATTCCTAGCAGCCCATTGGCTTAGGAGATGGGCCGGCTTGTTTGCAGATTCTAGGGGCCCAGCAGAGAGTGAGCCATTGTGAGGCGCTAATTAGGGATCTAATATCCTCGTAGATGACAGCAGCACGTTCACTTGAAGGAGAGGCGTTGACAAGATTTGCACAATCTGTTTCAATGTCAACGTCAGAGAACCCCAATGTGCAAGAAGATGAATGCCATGCCTGATCGATCTAGCTTCGGCAGCTTCAGGAGGGTGAGAGCCTTCAAGAAAAAAGGTTGCAACACGAAGAGTAATACCAAGGTGATTGAGGAGAATGAAACCACTTCCCATGCCGTTAATATGATTCGGAATAGCGGCATCAACATTGAGCTTGAGGCGACCGAGAGTCGGCGGAAGCCAGTGAGAAGGATGAGGGGGAGAAGAGAAGTGAGGGAAAGTCAAACGACCGTCTTGCGATTTTGCTTCCCAAAATTCATTAAAACTGAAAAGGGCACAATCCACAACTGATTTGGGGTTGCCACGCTTCCGATTGAAGTGCCAATTGTTCCTGTTCACCCATATGATATGTCAAATACAAAGGATTCTTTTTGGTATTATTGTGTGGAGTATTATTCTATACCTGTTTTTGGTAAGACACTCATATAGTGTGTGAAAAAGCTTTATAATGTAAGGGACATTCGTCAGACTTGGAAATATCTTTAGGCTATGTTTGCCTGTATAAAACCAAGGCCGCATGGAAATTCATGGAGCCCAACATAGCTTTAAAAGACCTCCTAATATCTTGCAAGAGAATTTCAAACTTTACCTTACCCAACAATATATATATATATTTATTCTGTTGATTTTTTGAAAATATTTTGCTTTTGGGATTGCTGATAAAGAGCACAGGCACATTCCAAAGTTAGCATCACAATATCAAATCATGGATTAAGATTTGCAAAGTAAGACTTCTGTTTAGATTCAAATTACAAGAAAGTAGAAACTTATATGAGAATTCCACCTGGCACAGCATACTAACTTAAAACAATTGTCAGGTAGAAAACGATTCTCCAAGACAACATCCATGATCCTCATCAATTCAAACTCCAAATTTACCTTACATTTTATCCTCCCCCTACAAAATCACAGATTCTGTAATGCCAAACCTTCAAGAGGCACTCCCATCACCTTTATCCGGTGATGGACCCAATGCAGGCTTCTTCATGGAGCTAGATTCTGATGGGCTCGAGTTCATCAACATGCGCTTGACTCCTCTTCCCACCACACCAAGATGTGTCACCCCAGCAGCACCATTTGTGTGAGCAGTAGAAACAGTAGGTGACTCGAAATCTCCACTGCTGTTGGCATTACCAATCCTCGAAGAGCTCATTACAGCTGAAGAAGCACTCTTCTCAATGCCCTTTGCCTTGGCAGTAACCATGCCCAGGATATCTGAAAGAATTGATGTTGGGTTCAAGACAAGCTGTTGCAGATCTTCAAGCTGCAATTTAAGGGAACCGAATTAACACAGCACAATACAATGTTAATCTTGTAACATATCTCATAGAGAACTTTAGTCACACTTGCCTTCTTTTCCAGCTCACCAGAGAGGCCAGAGAGTGTTTCAATCTCTGCTCCTTTATCTGTGGCGGAATCATCAGGCTGTCCTCCACTGGAAGAATGTTGGACAGTTGGGTCAGATTCATGAACAGCTGATGTTGTTGTTGACCCTGATGAAGTCCTTACTTCATTTGTGAGCCGCTGCACGCGAGACTTGCAAACAGATATAGCCTTTTGGCAATAGGGAATTGCTTCCTGAGCCTTTGAACCAATTTCCAAACACAAACATATCCTAAAATTTCTGAATCCTATTATTAAGGTGATAATTTAGCAGAAAGATAGGAATGGAACCAAAGTAATGCATGGAAGCACCCAGGTCATAAAATAATACACTAATGGAATAACCTCTGATAGTTATCACCTCAAGATATAGAAAAGTTTCAACCTTAAAAAGGATACAGTTCAGCCAAATGTCGACTGTCTGGTTCAACCAGGCGCTCTAAAATAGATAATGCTTTTAGGTAATCACTGAGAGAAGTATCAATATCCTCTGCATGGAGCAAAACAAGGACAATATTTTAACAAGATAAAATGCTTAGAAAAATGAGCAAAGTCCGACAAATTATATTAATCATAAAGTAAATATATATATATATATATTAATCACAAAGAACTAAAATATGAGTGAAAAAATATATATAAAAATAGAACCAAATAACACATACCTCTTTCCAAAGCAACCTCTGCCAAAGCTGACAATATGTCCACTTTCTCCATTGTGTCGCCTGCGTGTTTCTCAACAATTGCCCTTGCAACATCCAGCATTTTCCACGCCAAATCCAGGTCAGATTCGTCCTCATCTGCTTCAGCCAGGTCATCATTGTCACTCTCCTCCTCATCTTCTTGCTCTTTCCCACCAGAAACTATTTTCCAAGAAACATAAGCACAAGACGAGGTGAGAATTATAACTTGTGCATACTACCCCACACACGGACAAGTCACAAATTTAGTTTTCAATGGACATATAACATAATAAGACATCATTCTCACAATTCTCTTCCAAAATTTCTATGATTTAGGAGTTGCCAACACAAGTCTTGCCATCCATGCCCCGTTTTACAGCACTCTAACCCATTATTTTCATTTGTGTTAGGCACAATGGAGAAGGAAGTTAATAACGGTTATGTCCCAATAATTTTCAAAACGCATAGTGCACAAAAATTCATGTCTTATAAAAGTAAAAACCTGTCTAACATTTCCCTAGGATCACTGAAATTTTGTTGATGAGAAAAGACTCCCAAATGAATTGACAATTTGAGCACAATCCAGCATATGACGGGCAGAATGCAAGAATAACTGGTGATAGGGAATGGAGGAGGACGAAAGAAAAACAGTTTCAGAAGCAATAGAAGGATGCTGAAACTCATCCTCCAAAGCTACAAAAATCAATTACTGTTTTATTTTTTTAAAAAAAAAAACAACAATTTAGACAATATCATGTTTTGCATGTCCGAGATGACTATACAAGAGTACCTTCACCATTGAAAACTTGTCATGCAATAATTCCTTTTCGCTAAACAGAGGAACATCGTTAAGTAGGACAAGTATAAAAAAAAGACAAACCCCGAAGAGTGATTTATGCTGATTTAATCTGTGCTATTGAGCCAATAGTCTCTATTGAATTAAAAATAATAATAATAATTTCAAAATAATTTGATTTATCCTTAAAATCCTTTATGCCCCCAAGTTGAATGAAAACTCAGGGTGTCTCAAGCAAAGCACCATCCTTTCCTATGACCTTATTTCAAAAAAACCACCTGGAAGAAGCTCATATATCTCTTCATCTTACCGAGTCAACCAGCGAAACTTATGTTGCAGAACCAATATATATATATATATATATTGAAGGACAATATAAAATATCATCAGTGGACCTCGTTTACACAAAGGTAAACAAGGTAAGGTAAATGTTTTTACTTGTCCAATCACATAAATGGAGATGAAAATTTTCTCACAATCAAAATTAGAGAATAAGCTCCGACTTATGCAAGGCCTTTAACTGAAACAAGAAATGACTCAATAACATTTCAAAACACTTTTTTTTTTTTGGGGGGGGGGGGGTGGGATTATAATTCGAAGAATTAGGATATTCAGACAATGGGGTCCATACTATATTAGGCATAGAAGTGACAGAAAAACACACACATTTGAAAATCTAAGGGGATGAAGCAAGTTAGCAATATAAGTTAATTTGGCACCTCGATTATTGTCCAGTTGCATCATATGATAAAAAGTAGACCAAAAGAATCCTCGTCGCTTCATTGCTTCCGATACTTTTGGTGACCATATTGCTCAACCGGAACAAACATAATCATTCACCAATGTAGTACCCCTAATTTCAAAAGGATAGTCTCGGTATTATTTTAATTGTTTTAATTGCATTTCAATTGGTTATTTGATTTCTTGGCTTATTATTTATTTATTATTTTTGTATTCAAATGCTTGTTTAAATATTAATTGTTTAATATCCCTTGTATTCTGTGCTCGGACTTAATCACTCGTGGCTCTAGAATCGAGGGGTATCACAGTTGGTATCAGAGCACTCCAGGTTCAAGTGTCTCTAAGAATCTATCGTTTTAAGACTTCCGCGTAGCGTATTCTTTTATTTAGAGCCTAAGTTTAGGATTCATTGTATTCCTTTACGATCTGTTTAAATCGTACTGATGTCTGTCTTTCTATGTTAACAAAATGGTTAATGCTAGAAGAAGACGGGACAATCAGAGAAACAGGCAGCGAATGGGAGCGACACGTAGGCAGCAGGATTTCCTACAGCGTCAGCAAATGGAGGAAGAGCAACAACTGCCTAGGTTTTAGGAGGAGCAGGAGGAAGATGATCAGTTGCACATTGAGCAGGAGGAAGTACAACAGACTCAGGAGTCTCAAGATCGGGCCTACAATCAGGGCAGGGATCCAGAGTATCCTCCTCACATAAACGACTTCATTGCTCGGGCTATGAAACAGGTGTAGCAGTTGCACTTCGAAATCAGCCACAGGTCCAGCAGGCACCTATACCAACACCAGTGGTTCAGACAGATACTTGGAAGAAGACTAGGAATTCTTTTACAAAAGAGAGCCCACCTGAATTCTCAAGCTCCACCGATGCGAAAGTAGCTCACCAGTGGAAGAATAACATCGAGCGATATTTTCGCATGCTTAAGTGCACAGAGGTTCAGAAGCAGATGCTTGCTACCTTCAAGCTTGTCGGATATGCACTCCAGTCGTGGGAGTCAGTTACCACCGCAGAGGAGAGGACTTCGTTGACCTATGATCGGTTCAGTGCTCGCTTTGATGAGAAGTACTTTCTATATGCAGTCAGGACAGTTATGAAGAAAGAGTTCCTTAATCTAAAGTAAGGGAACATGACATTGGCAAAGTATGAGCAAAAGTTCACGTGCTTAAATCTCTTTTTGCTTTAGACGAGGTGGATACCGAGAAGAAGAAATGTACTAGCTTCATTAAAGGGGCTTATGTGGTTTATTAAACGATTTATTACAGGTAGTCCAGCCTATACTACTTATGCTCAGGTGGTAGACACCGCTCTACAGCATGATCAGTTAACCGTGGACTTCAGACAGGCTAGGGGTGAGAAGCGAGGTGACAGAAACTCTGCTAATCAGTCAGCTGAAAAAGAAAATGGCAATGAACACCGACTTAATGATAAGGGCAGATCTCAGGGACAACAGTCTTGGAAGAAGCACAAGGGTGGTTCAGATGCTCACAGAGATAGGACACCTATTCAGAGGTAGCAGAATGGGGAACCACAGGCAGGACGGGATCAGCCACAGGCTAACCAGCAGAGGAGGCCGTTTGGTACTTTCAGGGGTACTTGCTACACTTGTGGAGAACTTGGACACAATTCCAGGCAGTGTCCTAAAACAGGACAGAGTCAACATGTGCAACAGGAACAGAGGGCACCATTACCTTTACCCGCTCCACAGATTCTACGCATTCAGGGACAGACCTTCCCGGCTTTACCACCACCACCGCAACCACAGGGACAGGCACCTCATTAGTTGCATTATGGCAGGGTGTATAACCCTAGGTCACAGGATGTTCAGGCGCCTCAGGCTGTTGAGGGTATGTTTCCTATTCATGGTACACATGGTCATGTTTTGTTTGATACAGGTGCTACACATTGATTCGTGTCTAATTCTTTTATTGCATAATCTGGGATGACGACGCGAGTATGCGATAGACCTCATGGTATTTCTACACCTATAGGCGATACTGCCATTTTACATGAGAGTGATGGGCCTGTGACACTAGATATTGGTCGACTTAGATTTCTAGCCAATCTATTGGTCCTGGACATGCACACTTATGACGTGATACTCGGGATGGATTGGTTAGCTCACTACCATGCCCAAGTTAACTGTTATGATAGGTCTGTTATATTCGACATACCTGGTCAGGACATGATAGGTCTGTTATGTTCTAAAGGGGCTTCTAGCACCTATTTGTTCTATGTGGAGGAGACGAATGAGGAGGAGATTACTGTATCACTGGACAGCATACCAATTGTAGAGGATTTTCCGAATGTCTTTCAAGAGATTCTAGGGTTGCCACCTAGTCAAGAGATAGACTTTGTGATTGATTTAGCTCCAGGCACTGCGCCTATTGCTAGGGCACCATATAGAATGGCACCAGTGGAGATGCAAGAGCTGAGGGATCAGATTCAGCAATTGCTCAGTCAGTCATAGGAGTACTTCACCTTGGAGAGCACCAGTTTTGTTTGTGAAGAAGAAGGATGGTTCACTTCGCCTGTGTATAGATTACAGGGAATTGAATAAGGTTACTATTCGTAACAAGTACACTTTGCCCAGGATCGATGATCTTTTTGATCAGTTGAAGGGAGATACATACTTTTCTAAAATTTATTTGCGTTCTGGATATCATCAACTTCGGGTTAGGGAGCAAGATGTACCTAGGACAGTGTTTCTCACTAGATATGGTTCTTATAAATTTCATGTCATGCCTTTTGGATTGACTAACGCACCAGCAGTCTTCATGGATTTAATGAACAGAGTCTTCAGGGCTTACTTAAATCAATTTGTTATCGTATTCATTGATGATATTTTGATCTATTCTAAGGTCGGCGGACGATCATGCTAGACATCTTCGCACAGTGTTGCAGACGCTTCGTGAACACCAGTTATATGCCAAATTCGAGAAGTGTGAATTTTGGAAGTGAGAAGTAAAATTTCTAGGTCATGTAGTGTCAGAGAAGGGGATAGTGGTAAATCCAGTCAAGGTCTCAGCAGTGGTGGAGTGGGGACAGCCTACCTCGCTTACGGAGATTCGAAATTTTCTCGGATTGGCAGGATACTATTGTAGGTTTATTCAGGGGTTCTCGAAGATAGCGAGACCACTCACTCATTTGACTAAGAAGGGTGTACGGTTCGTATGGGATAAACACTGTCAGAAAGCTTTTGATGAGCTAAAGAGCAAGTTGACTTCTGCACCGGTTTTGTCTACTTCACAGAGCGGGATACAGTATCTTGTCTACACAGATGCTTCTTTGCAAGGTCTTGGATGTATTTTAATGCAGGAGGAACGACCAATTTCGTATAGATCTCGTAAGCTTAAGCCTCATGAGTTTAATTATCCAACACACGATTTGGAGTTGGCAGTTATGATCTTTGTCTTACGTATTTGGAGGCATTATCTCTTGGGAGAGTCTTTCAGATTATTTAGTGATCACAAGAGTTTGAAGTATTTGTTCACTCAACGGGAACTAAATATGAGACAGCGCCGATGTTTAGAGTTTGTGAAAGACCATCATTTCTCTATACAGTACCATCCAGGGAAAGCGAATTTGGTGGCAGATACGCTCAGTGACTCAGTCGCCGACCCTATGCTAGCCTTTCTGCATTATTCGCCACTGCGTGGGATGCTTTGAAAACAGTTAATGAGTTATCCGATACTTTTATGGCTTGTATGGTAGTTACACCTTTGATCATTCACAAAATACTAAAGGCACAACTCAAAGTCCAGCAGTACATTGATATGGTTGCAGAGATAGCTTCTTGAGAGGTTCCATTTTATCATATGGGGACTGATGGAGGCTTGAGGTACAAAGGGCGTTTAGTAGTACCTTCTGCTGATGATTTGAGGAAGGATGTAATGACTGAGACTCATCTTTCTGAGTTTTCCATTCATCTAGAAGGAGATAAGATGTATCAGAATATGAAACAGCAGTTTTGGTGGGCAGGTATGACGAAGGACATTGCTATCTTTGTCTCTAAATGTGGTACTTGCCAGATAGTCAAGATCGATCACCAAAGACCGCCAGGTTCACTACAACCACTACCTATACCGGAGTGGAAGTGGGAGAGTATTTCTATGGATTTTGTGGAGAGATTGCCTAATTCGTTTAAGAATCACAATTCCATTTGGGTCATCGTTGATAGGTTGACCAAATCAGCTCATTTCTTGCCTATTCGCACTGATTACACTTTGGAACAGTTGGCGAGACTTTACATTACAGAGATTGTGAAGTTGCATGGCATTCTGTTATCTATTATATCAGATAGGGATTCAAGCTTTGTATCAGGGTTTTGGAAGAGTTTTCAACAGGCTTTGGGTACAGATTTACATCTTAGCACTGCTTATTATCCTCAGACTGATGGACAAACCGAGGGGGTTAATCAAATAATGGAGGATATGCTTCGTTATTGTGTCCTTGACTTTAAGGGCCACTAGGAGTGTTTGCCACTTGTGGAGTTCGCATATAACAATAGCTTTCAGAAGACTATTGGTATGGCACCGTCTGAGGCATTATATGGCCGACCATGTAGATCTCCTGTTTGTTGGATGGAGGTTGGCTAGAGCAAATTTTTGGGTCCTGAGTTCATTAAGGACACCTCTTAAAAGATCGCTCTTATTAGGGATCGTATGTGCATTGCCCAGAATAGACAAAAGAGTTATGCAGATCGTCGTACTTGTGCATTTGAGTTTCAGGTTGGAGATCAGGTTTTACTCAAAGTGTCTCCTATGAAGGGAGTAATGCGTTTTGGGAAGAAAGGGAAATTGTCCCCGCGTTTTGTTGGTTCTTTCATGATTACGAATCGAATTGGAACTGTAGCTTATCGGTTAGCACTTCCGAACCACTTGCATCAAGTCCATAATGTTTTCCATGCTTCCATGTTGCGGAAATTTTTGCGAGGTGAGGATCGAAATCAGCATATAGATGTGGGTGAGATTGAGTTACAACCGGATGCAACATATGTGGAGCCACCGTGTCACATTATAGACCGTAGGGATCATGTTCTTCGCAATACAGTCATATCGTTAGTACGTGTCCAGTGGAGTCACCATAATGAGGCTGAGTCTACTTGGGAACGAGAGGATGTCATTCGCTCACAATTTCCAAAAATAATGAAAGAAGGTAAGGGTGAATTCCGAGGACGGAATTCCTTTTGTTAGGGGAGAAAAATGTAATACCCCTAATTTCAAAATGATAGTCTCGGTATTATTTTAATTGTTTTAATTGCATTTCAATTGGTTATTTGATTTCTTAGCGTATTATTTATTATTATTCTTTTTGTATTCAAATGCTTGTTTAAATATTAATTATTTGATATCCCCTGTATTATGTGCTCGGACTTGATCACCCGTGGCTCTAGAATCGAGGGGTATCACAACCAACTAAGTTTTGGTAATCTCAACTCTGCCAGAATCTTAGGGCCAAACAACAAAAACCACACCACTAACGGGTTTTTCTATCTTTTTTTCCTTTTTAATTTTTCTCCCCTCTGTAATCCAACTCTATCAGCACAGTTGCTGAACACACTATAAAGAACGAAAGGACTCTAGAAATAGTAACTGAAACAAAAGGATTAAGCACTCTAAGAATTTAATGTGTAGAAATACTTTTTTGGGTGTGCTTAAATAAAGAAACCAAGTATCCTCCAGGGCGCAACATCTTTTTCCTTATTATGAGTAACATCACAGAACAGATTCTGAAATGAAAACATACTTCGTCCACACAAACTGCAGGTTAAAGTTAGGAACCATAATCTACACAACATGCTATTGCATAAATCAGCAGAAGTTTCTAGTGGCCAACAATTAGGGACGGTTTATAAATGTAAGGTATAAAGCCAAAAATGAGATATGGACAGAGGAAAGGACTCATAAATCAAAGAAATAATATTTCATTGTATTGGAGTGGGAAAAAAAATAATTTAATGCACCGGTCACGCATAAGGTCTTCTAGCACAGATGTGAGCTAGTAATTTCATGCATCCACGCATACAAACATGCACGTGAGAGGAATATGTATTCCTCATTCACATCTATACAAGAAACTAGACATTGAAATGGCTATAGGCAGACAGAGACGCATACATAAGTACATATTCTGGTTCATGTGTGCCATCATGAGCAATTATATGTCAATTGTCAAAATGTACATAATGTTGTTAAAACATGAAAAATTATTAGACTCGACCATGTGGTCCAGTCCAATCAAAACTCTGCAACTAAGAAAGTGGACCCAGAAGAATGTTAACAAGATATTTTTAAAAACTTGTACATGAGTTTTGATCGGACTGAACCCCCAAGTGTCTTATGGTCCAGGAACATCTAATAATTTCTCCTAAAACATAAGCATAAATGCCAGCATGGACAAATTGTTTCTCAAACTAAGAAATGAGGCTGGTTACTCCAGCATGCTCCTAACAACCACACGTTATATGTAATGTTGCATCAAAAAAAAAAATCAGGACAAAACCGTTTATATGAACAACTTCGATTAACCAAGCAAGACACAATCAAGACTGGTTTATCAGACAGCATTAGTAACAAAGAGATCGACTTCTTTCTTTAATCTTTGTTTAGAAGATGCAGAAGCTCTCGCAATGTCCTCATGGTGGGTAATTCATCCTACAAAAATGTGCTCCTTGAAGACAATTAATCAGGTTTTGTACACATTATTGATATTGGACCACATTTCTATATGTTTATACATCTTATCCTTGACAATCTCATGCAGGAACATTAAATATTCATCACCAAAACAAAGAATTATGGTTAGGGTCCACCAAAGGGTAGTTTAGGGGAAACTAGGAATTGGTTGAACAACTTGAACAGGTTCTAAAATAGGATAGAGGTTGATAAGAGTTGTCTTAATCATAGAACTTTACAAATTACAATTTGTCAAAGCATTTCATGCTGCGGTTCTTAATTGAATATTTAATAAATTTGAAAGGCATCCTAACAACCACTTTAAATTGAGAACCTTATAGCAGTCATTTTTATCCCTTATTCCATTAAAACAGCCATCAATAAAAATAAAGTAGAACACACAAAAGATATCGACTCATCTCGGTTCACCGCAACAATAACATGAAAATTAACAAACTGCAGTTTGAACAATAATAATGTATTGTCAAACAGCACTAGAGCAACCTAAACTTTCCATATTTAGAACAGAGGAATTAGAACCAGTGGGACTCAATCCCAAGTATATTGGATTTACTTTGAAAAATCAATTTACAATCAATAATGTTTCAGATATTATACAAACAATTCACAGGTTGGTATCAACCCTCTATGAGTAAATGTTAAATTCCTTAAAGGCTAAATAATAACAGCAACAGAGTGACCTACCACAAGAATTATCCAACATGACCTGGCTAGTACAGCAACCTATCCCATTTGTTATGCAGTTCGAACTTTAAATTCACGCTAAATGGAAGTAACCATACAAAATTCACAAACACATAAAAAAAGAGTCTCGCCTTTGAAGATAGAAGACCCATCTTGATATAGAAAACTAAAAAACAAAAAAAATCTAAAGAAGCTCCAAGTGATTGAACTCTTAACAAATATAAGACCTAAAAATAAATCAACTTCACACAAACACTTCTTTTCAGACCAAAAGAAAATCTTGATTTGTTTGGAGCCCATAGCAATACTATCACGTTCAAAAATTAACATACATGTGGTAAAACGAATAAGGCAGTCCAGAATGCATACAGTAAAGTGTATAGACTGAACAACAAACATTAGTTCTTCTCAAGGAAAAAATAATAACAAATGACCAAGACACCAAAATCCAGACACAACTTGCATTGTTCACTTCTCTGAAGCTAATTTATTAAAGGCGCACTTACTTTCCATATGTTTGACATTGTGAGAACATGCAGAAGCCCATTAATTTTCAACAAAGAAAAAATAAATTTAACATGGGTTTCAAATACAAAATGCGTCATTCACAAGTTCTCCTGCACATTTTTTATGTTAACAGGAGCGAGTTCTGTAGTAGGAGTACAAGAAGCGACAAGGTGAATATAAGTGCCTCATTAATAAGTGTCCAGTGTGCCCAGCATGAATGGAAAGATGTGCCCTAAAAATCATGTTAAATACTACTAAAACAGAGCATTTTCAAGAACCAACTCTTACGGCATTATTTCAAGAACCAACTCGTACCTTCGCTAAAAATCTACTGCCATCCCAAAAGGGAAAGGCACAGAGTTAAGTCCCACTTGTGACTTAAGCGTGTATCTTATCTATGTGTATGTGTATGTGTGTGTGTGTGTACATATCTTTTTATATAATGCATTATTTCAATATATTCACCAATTGTTCAATAAGCTTTGTCAGAATCCTATCTTATCACCAAGTATCATTGCCAAAAATTACTAACCATCTTCAGGAGCTTTTTCTTTATGATTTGAACTTCCATCTTGATCAGCATTACTTGAAACAGAAGCTGCAGAAGATTCACCATTCATATAATTCTTAACAGATCCATCTTTGTCGGAATCTTGGTGAGATTCACCCTCTTTTTTTGGCACAGAACCCAAGGGATCAGCCTCTTCTTGAGCTTTGTACAGCAGGGCACATCCATATTTATAATATGCATTGACACATTCAGGAGCAAGTTCGCCATACTGTGCAACCCTGATCATAATTAAAAAGAACAGAATAATTGCCGTCAATAATCCCTTATTACAACAGGAGGAACACACAAAGAATGGCAAACTGGCTAGAATTTAATCAGTGGCAACAAGTAAGAGCCGAGCTTTAATCAAGTCAAAATCGAGATGTTCGTGAACAGCTCGTTTCATTTACAGTCTTAAAAACCACTCTTAGGAAATTTCGAGTCAGGATAGGTTCAGACCAACCCTAGTTAATATTAAGGGTCTCAGAAGGACAAAATACATGAGTTCAATAATCCAATATTAGCATTAAGTCTATACGGAGTAATATGTTATCTATTAGGTTCCTCGGTGCGCTCCCCTTTGAGGGGCTTAATGAAATTTTAGTTATCAAATATATGTGTGTTATCTCCTAGGTTCGTGCCTCCTCCTTCTTTGTTCATTCTCAGCTCCATACAATATTAGAACCTTAACACAATTTAAAGAAAACAAACACGTAGCTTCAATTATCTGAAGTTATGATATTAAATTTAAGAATGGCAAATTATCAGCTTAAAGTTCCAAATTTGATAACGTGTTTCCTACATTTCTTAGCATCCAAACAGAGTTCAAAAATAGACATACAAGAAACGGACCAGTAAAAGCCCTAACCTGATTTCTAGGGCACGGCTGAAGCAGTCGGTGGCTTCTGCATAATCGCATTCCTTGGCGGCGTTCGATCCTTTCTCCATCAACTCGTCCGCGTACTCCAGAGAATTTTCGCGGTCGGCGTCGGAGGTAAGAGCAGAGGTCTCGCCGTTGTTGTTGCAAGAAGACTCGGTACCTCCTAGAGCGTTCGACTCGATGATTGCTTCCACTGAAGCCTGCGTTTGGTTGACATTTGGGCTCAGGGTTTCTGAAGAAGCAGGAGCTTCGTCGGCCATGGCCACTTCGAACGAAAAGGGAACGGAAATGGAAACCCTTAATTCTTGAAAGTGAGCCTTTTGTTTTCTGTACTTCAAAAACCCTTTTCTGGCGGAAAAATGGAATGTAAAAATTTATACTCCTATTTTATAATGGGACGGTGGGTAGAAGGGAAACTATTTTCGTGTCCCGCTATGGATTACCACCATACCAAATTCAAACAATATAAGTACTATATTAATATATTTGTGACTCAACTTTCATAAATTTGGGGCCTAGCTAATGTTTAATATAATTTTTACTGTGATTCAATTTTAATCCATTAATTTGAAATCAAGTAAAAATTATGCATGGAAACTGGGAAAAAATTGATGTGTAACCAGAATTTACATTACAATATTCTATGTAATTATTATTTTAGAGTTCAAATGGATCGCTTTTCTTGTTTTATATTAAGTTATAATTATTTTTTTATTTTTGAAAAAAAAAAACTCAATTGTTATTATTTTTGTATTAGGATGAAAATTTTAATTAAGACTCTAAATAAGACCCCTACAGTTCGGAATCCTAATTTCATCATTTTTTTACTAGGGTTCGCTCCAAGCTTGGAAGTCACTGTAGAAGAGTTTGAGTTGGAACATTTCCGTCATCATTTTCAAGAGTTGTGCGAATGATAGACTGAAACTACTAGTTGGACTTGGAAGTATTTTCAAGCAATTTCAATGAATACACTGCTCAATAGAATATCGCTTTTGTTAAAGTAGAGAAACTTTGAAAAAATATGCAGTCATAATAAACAAATTTACGTGACAATCTCTAGACATCCGTTTCCTTGCAGGGAAATGAAAATAAATACCAACTATCAGGGATATATTTGTTCATAATATTATTATTAAAATATAACGGAGTCTATTCCAATCAAAACGATATTAGTTGAGACGAAAAAGAAAAAATTAATTAAATTAGTCAAATTTTACATATTAAATTAGAGTAAAGTTAAAATTGATTTTTGAGTGAGTATTTAGGGTCTGTTTAGTTTATAACTCTGAACGTAAAACTATTTTCAGATAATTATAAAAAACAATTGTTTTAAAATAAATTTTTTTATAACTGAATTTTAAAAGAATAATTTTCAAAAAACTAAATAAATTCTTTTTTATTTTTAAAAACAAAAAATTATTGTCAGAGTTATAAACCAAACAAATTTAAAGTTGCATATTATACTCATGAGTTGAGCTTCCAATTCATTTAACAAGTTAGAATTACATTATTATATATATATATATTATTTTTTTTGAGTAAATTACATCCTTTTATTTTTACTATTGGTATTTTGAATTACTACAAATCTAAATTAACCAATGTACCAAAAAAACAATAATTAATAGTAATCATAACAATAAATAAAGGTTGTTGTCTGGGGATGGAAGTCAGCAACTCAAGCAATTGGGGTCTTATCTGCAAAGCTTAAGAATTGAACAGCCAAACGCTACTTATGGCTGGCTTGGTTTCAAACCCTGTCGGACTCCATAAATTCAGGCCATGTTATTTTCAGTCTCCACGCCTAATCAAACCCTTAATTCAGTTGCAGAATAGAACTCGCCAAGGATATCAAAGAATCTACTGCCAAACGGACCCTAATCCCACTGACGACTCAACGGTATCGTTCTCTCTAGAATTTTTTCTGGTTTTTCTTCTGTTGTTGCCTTGATCTAGACTACTAAGAACTGATACACGAATTTAATTATGTTCTATACTTTCATTCCTTTCTTTCAATTGGGTATTGATCTGTTACCGTGAGAGTCAGCAACTAGAGACTCAACCCATTTTAGTTTGTAGAGATCTGGGTATCATCTAGTTGAATGTTAGAGAAAATGGATATATATATATGTGTGTGTGTGTGTGTGTGACAGGTTGACAAATACAAGGTATTCATTGTTTCAACAACTTGATTTTTGTTCGTTTCACTTTTAAAATGAGTCCATGATTGCGTGAAGTATTTTCTCGAGGAGTAGTTTGGATTGGATAAAAACAAGTGCTTTACGGAAAGTGATACGAGATTCGGCAGGGATGTCAATGGTGGCATACTGGAGAATAGTGCCCCGTCAAGGACAAAGGGGTTTATTGATTGGAGATTGAGGGGAAAATGGGAAAAAATTGTTGGCAGTAGAAACTCTCACAAGTTCATTACGATGTTAGAGTTTGACTAGAAATTAGTGGATTAATGTTTAGCTTCTAATGTTGCTTTGGATTTGGAATTAGAGGAACTTTAGTTAAAATTTTGAACTAAATTTCCTCCAATCCCAAATCCAAGCCACTGATTCGGTGCTCCCAAACATAACATAAGAGTTTTTTGTTCATCACCTCACTGTTTTCTAAAGCACCATGTTTCTGTTACCCTTCTAACCATGATCATTTGAACCTCCTCGCTGAAAGTTGTTCCACAACTTGGAGGTTGAGCTGCAGCCTCTAAACTAAGTTTCCTGACCTTTGGACCCTCCATGGTCTGGAGCTGAAATATTATCAAGGATATGGTCCGACCCACAAGTCTCTTATTGCTCCATTTTGAGTTGATCAGACATCCAGGGTAGGTATGCTTTCCTGCAATCACTGTCATTCAATTGAACTGTTGGTCATTCTCGTTCAGCAACCAAGGATGTTTATCATATGCACAAGTTTATAGAGATGAAAAATTAGTAGGAACGCATGGAAACTCTAGCTGACCTCAATAAGATTATCTTTTAAGCCCAAACTGAAGATAAATTAGTGTTCCCCTTGTCATTTAAATTTAGAAAGTAATTTTTATTCCATAAATTCTTTAGGATAGTTTTCTAGGGTGTCTGTTTCTATATGTCACCCTAATATTTGTGTTCTTGTTGATTAAAATATAGTGTTTTAGTATATGAGCATGACCTATGACTCAGCATTTAATTGAAGTTGCTTGTTCTCTTCATTTAATATGGTTAATTGTCTTTAAGATGCTTTATATGCTGAACGTTAGAGAGGTTTTGAGAGGCCAAAGGATGTTATAAGCTTTTACATAGGCATAGAACCTATAATTTTTATTGTGAAGGCATTCGAAGGGTTAAAGTGCCATCCAGAGCCTCTTTATTTATTATTTTTTTTTATTTTTTTTGTACTACAGCTTTGGAGGCAATTTTGATTATCCGATTCAGTCTGAAATTTAATTGGGGGTTGGCTACTAGGGGTAAGGGTTGTGGAGGTAGAAAGGAGATATTTGCATGCCTTGAGAGCCCGTTGTGCTTGATGTACAACAGATGCATCTTTAAGGAGACTGATGTCTGTCTTGAACCTGAAACACTTGATGCTAAGCTCCTTGTGTTTTTTGCGTTGTCTTTTTCCGAAATTTGTTGGGTAACTCATCAACCTCTGTTTGCTTGTTTTGGCAAGTAATTTGTTCCTCTTCTTGAATGCTTTGTTTCAGTTAAACTTTATAAATATGCCTAATTAGTTCATCTATATGCAGGAAAAGCTGCTTGTAGAGCCTGATTCAGGCAATGGCAAAACCATGCAACCCACGGATTCCTCCTCTGATACTGGATTTCCTGAATATCCGAACAAAAATTTCAATAAGCAGATAGCTGTTGTTTCCACCCTTGCAGCAGTGGGTCTTTTCTTATCAGGGCGACTAGATTTAGGTGTTTCTTTGAAGGACCTATCCGCTGCAGCACTACCTTATGAAGAGGTTTGCTCTCTATGACCCTGTAGCACAAATCAGTTTTCTATTGATTTTTCTGGTTGGTATATCCTATTTGTACGTGTGGTGCATGCTTGGGATGAGCATGGTTGAGGGGCTGGATGAAGATTTCAAATATGCTCAACTTGGTTCTTTTTTTCTCCTGATAGCAAAATGTGTTCATGACTTAAATATACTTCATGTCATGCTTGTTATATCCTATTTGAATGGATTATGGACTAATATTTGTGAAATGGCTAGGATTAGTGGCAATCCATCTATGCTTTTTTGGATTGGTGAGGAACAGGGATTAGATTGCAGAATTTTTAGTTTATTTCTGTAAACTTGTCTTAGTTGCCTAAATCACATGCAAAAAGTCTTCTTTTGATGGACCCAGCGTATAGGCCTGATAAGTAAATATATATATTTTTTATTATTATTTTTTTTTATGAGTGAATTTTTTGCCATTGCCTTTGTATTGATTTTCATGTTGTCTTTGTTATTATTGTGTGGTAAAGAGTTCTTGTGCTGCTTATATATAGGCTCTCTCAAACGGGAAGCCCACTGTTGTGGAGTTCTATGCAGATTGGTGTGAAGTATGTCGAGAATTAGCTCCGGATGTGTACAAAGTTGAGCAGCAGTACAAGTAATCTACTTTGAGTTTTTATGTGTCACATGATATTCATTAATAGTTTTGTTTCTATCTTAATGGTTTGGAAGATTAAAAATAAAATTATGTTTATTAGGTTTTTAGTTTTATTTTGAATCATAGGATACGAACTTCTCCAGCAATTGGTTGGCAAAGTTCGCATACCTGTGTTTTCTTTTTCTTTGATCACCTTTTGCTTTCATAATTTCAGTACCTTTTTCTTTTTTCTTTTTCAGGGACCGTGTGAATTTTGTTATGTTGAATGTCGACAACACAAGGTGGGAACAAGAACTAGATGAGTTTGGTGTTGAGGGTATTCCACATTTTGCGTTCTTGGACAGAAATGGGAATGAGGAGGGTAATGTTGTAGGCAGGCTTCCAAGACAGTACCTGCTGGAGAATATTGAAGCCCTTGCCCATGGGGAAGCATCCATACCTCATGCCCGTGTTGTGGGACAGTATTCAAGTGCTGAAGCCAGGAAGGTGCACCAAGTTGTTGATCCAAGAAGTCATGGCTAGCTATTTGTATATAACAAATATAACATATTCTGTATTTGTAGTATTCACAAAATGGTTTCTGGATTCACGGAAAATGTAATCTTGGCACAGGTTTGGTGCTGACTTGTACAGGAACAATTTTTTAAGAAAACCATTTCAATTTGCTTACTGGGAATGCCTTCATGATAGTTTTCAGTTTATTCCAATCAAACAGACATATCATGCAACTGATCATGAAAAAATCTGGGATGATTTGAACAGTGTTTTTTTCAGTTGAGTGAGTATGCAAACTGTTTGAATTTATAGCCGAATTTGTGGCAATTATGTGAGTTTTTGCTGATTCGGGATCTTGACTTGACTGTTTAAGACTAGCTTATATATATATATATCTGGATTAATGCTCCATACTGAAAGGATTGCATGATTGACTAGTCTTGATTGTCTTGATTCACTCAATCATCTGATCGAAGAGCTATCATTTCTGTAACTGCATGAGAAGTATGTTTGTCAGAAAATAGGCCATTAGGCATGCTGCAGATCACACATTATCGATCAACACTGAAGGACCTACCTAATGTGCAAGTCCAGCAATGCTGCGAAACATTCGCACTTGTTTAACTGTTAGATGGTCAGCTAGAACCAGAAAGGAGGTAGTTATCTAACACACAACAGTAGGACCAGCCATTTTATACAAAAAGAGAGCTCTGCCTCGAGTCTTCCCCTCCAAGCATTACTTGTGTAGGCACGACATATACCGGATAATGAACTTTCAACAATGTGTATACGAGAATATACACAGGGAAATGTACTTTTACAACAGTAGGAGAGGGTCTGTCGAACTACACCATGAGATTAGTTGAAACAAGAAAGTCAAGCAAACAGAGACAGGGCTTGCAAAAATAATAACTCCTAGTTTCCTGGACAAGAAAGTTGTCAGTCTGAACATATCGAACCTGCAATTTAATTTTCACCGGTGATATGAGCTTACGAAGTCCTAGTTCACTTCCCTAAGTCATCACAAGATCATATGTTCTCGAGTACATAACTAAGCTATATACTATTCAAATGTTGCTTTGTACGTCATCCGAAAGACCTAAAGGAGCTAGAGGACCAGCATACAGAAAAAAAGAAGAAAAGGTCCGGATGCTGAATTTACTTGAATGCTTTAGTCTGAAGGTTCTACACTTGCTTCTGCTGCTACCTCAAACTAACAAATTCCTTCTACAGTTATTTCCTGTGTTCATCTGAAGCCACAGTTTGAATATTTAAAGAGAAAGGACCGCATAAACTGTTGAACCTGCTTCAAACACAGATAAGTTCACACACACAGAGTCAGTTCATAAGCTCGTATGCTTTATATATTAGTAATTTGTTCAGTGATGACTTATACATTTTGTGTGTACTTGTAGAAAAACATAAAGAAAGGCTTGGAAGGTCAAGCATACAAAAGGATATCCATACTATATCTATATATATATATATATTTGATAAGTAAATCCATACTATATCTATAAGAAGGTAGTAATAATAAAGTAAGAAATAACAACTTGCTATTCACAACATGAGATGAATCAAGGCACCCAAAGAAGCAGCAGCTTTTTTAATCACTGAACTACATTACCCAACAAACTGTTTGTTGAAGGCGAGCTCTGCTCACTTAACCAAGGGTCCTGCACAGAAACGGGGGAGCTATCCTTCTCCTCCTCCATCGGAGCAAGGCAATCAGCTGCTCTATGTGGAACCATTAATCTCCGACTCCCCACACCTGCCTTATTAACTGTCACACTACTGACTGACTTCTCACTTCCATAATAAGGCGATGAACAAGAGGATGCCACTGATGATGCCATGAACATATTCTCCTCCAACGGTGCCCACCCACTAATCCTGATCTGTTCTAACTCATCTGCCACTTCTATCATAGAAGGTCTCATGTCCCTATGAAAAGCAAGGCACCTAAATGCCAGCTCAGCCACCTTGTGAACAGATGAAAGTGTCCAAGCATCCCTATGTGGCTCAATGAATGGATCTATTATCTCATCCACACAACCTTTTCCAATCTTGTCAATTGCAAGCGCAGCCAAATTCACCTCACTATGAGGTCGAGAGAAATCAACCACCTTCAATGCGGTTATGATCTCTACAAGAACTACCCCAAAACTGTAAACATCACTTCTATCAGAAAGATGGAAGTTTTGATGGTACTGAGGATCAACATATCCAGGAGTCCCTTGTGGGGCTGTAGAAATGTGGGAATCATCAGGCATACCAAGTCTAGAAAGACCAAAATCTGCTACCTTTGAGTTGAAGTTGTGATCTAAAAGTATATTGCTAGATTTGATGTCTCTGTGGTATATTGGCGGACTAATGGCAGAGTGGAGATGAGCAATTGCATGAGCAGTTTCAGTGGCAATGGTGAGGCGTACCGTCCATGGAAGGGCCTTGCCCTTTTCTCTTTGTAGATGCTGAGATAGAGTTCCATTGGGCATGAATTCGTATACTAAGATCTGTTCACCGTTCTCTACACAGCAACCTAAGAGGCGGACTAGATTTGGATGGCTCACAGAAGACAGAAGCTTGATCTCATTCATGACTTGTTCAATGCCGTCAGCGTCTCGGTGTCTAATTCTTTTAATGGCAACAAATTCATCATTGTGGAGTTTTCCTTCATAAACTGTACCATAGGCCCCAGTGCCCAACCTTTTTTTCTCAGAGAAGCCATAAGTGGCTCTCTCAATTTCTCTGTATGGGTACAAAGGAACACTGTTGCTGCCTGCAGCTTCAAATAGTAGCCGATTTGCACTCATTTGGCTTTTCAAAGAATTGGACCGTCGTCGGATGCAGTAGCAGATGAGAGCTAAAGCAGCCATTAATGAAGCTCCAACAATAACCCCTATGAATAAAACAAAGTGAATAATGTGTGAAATTAACAAAACTCTGGATTCTTGAATGTCACCAAAAATACATACTTCAACATGATTCTGATTATTTAGTGAAAGTAACAAATTACTGTCTACTTGTGTTTCTCAGCAACATCATGGCTAAATATATAAATAATTTCTAACAGACTTAACATCTTTGACTCAGGCTCGCAGCAGCAGCCAACCAAGCTAAAGTTTATTCATGTCAACATTAAGTTGAACTACAAGAATACCATCACAACATAACCACAATCTGGATTTGACTTTATTATACTTGTTGATACCATATTGAAGAGCTGAAGTAAGTAGGAATGTAGGAATGACTTGAACATTCAACAGCTTTTCAATGCTCAAAAAGTTGAGGGAATATCTCAACTCTCAAGTCATGCCGGTAGGAATAACACATATAATATTGCCTTGACATTCTACCACTTAGCTATAGAATTACTGGACAGGTAATTTTCAACATAAATCTCACAGAATTCTTGAATCATCATCAGTGATCAATAAATTCCACATTTTATAATGGAGAAAGTTGAAGACAAGACAACTTACTGCACTAAAAATCTAAATGTCAAGGCCTAGAAAGAATATTGAGATTTGAAAGTTCAAATGGGATCAGATTCTGCATAGAACTGCATTGGCTATTTCTAAAATAAAATTTTCCATATAAAAAATTCATGAAATCTTGGAATCAAAAGGCAACTGCTTTTACCGATATAAAGAGTACCACAAACAAGAGAGAAACAGGAACCATTGGATGAAGTAAAAGTTGGTTTAAGAAACAAATCCCTGAATCAGTTATAGGCATATAGCCAGTAAAGTAGTGTTAAAAAAGTTGATGAACACACACAACCAAAAAGGAAATACCAGGAACTCAGGGGCAACACAGTTCATATCAAGTTATTGTTAGGATTTATATGCCCTGGCATAGCAAATTCCTGTTTGGATTAAAGTGACATATGTTCCTGACGTTTTTGAAATATTTATGTTTTATACAATTGGTGAATTCAATGTATTATATTTCGATTCATTATAGAAATGATAGTGTCCATTTGATTACAAGAGATATTTATATATATGTATGTGATGGCAATCAATGCATGATATATAAATAGTAATCATAAATGGTTCATAGTCGGTAATTATGGATGGACTCATAATTAATTAAGATTTGAACTGGATCCGCGTTAGGTTGAGATATATTGCGAGAGCCGTCGTATGCAATTGCTCCCTATCACCGTCATGGCATTTGACTCTTAAGCATGAGAAAATTATAGACTCTTTTATTAATTAATAATTACTTTGATTTGTTCGGCGGATTCTTCGGGATCCTTAGACCGACACTTTGGGTAGTTATGTAATTAATAGCTAGAGGGTTATATTTTCAATATTTGCATCATTGCTACTTGTATTTATTTTGTATTGATTATGGTTGATCACAAAGTAAATTCGAAGGCCTTCGTGTGGTTTTAGACAAAATGATTTATTATATATTTATTTATTAAATTATTATTTTTGTCAAACAAATGTTTTATTGTGATCGAGCCAGAAATAATCAATGGTACCAAAATAAATATATTAATTAAGTAGTCGGATTAATGGCTTTATTTATCCGATAACTAATTATGCATAGAGGGGTCAAAGTGCAATATTGACTTAGAGATTATTTATTATTTAATTGGAGTTCAATTAATTTCTTTTAGTGGAGTAGAAATTAATTTATGAATTAATTGAATTGGGTCCATGGACCGGGCCAATTATTAATTCATTGTAGCCAATAAAATAATAGGCCCAATGGATTCTCACTCATAGCCCAACTTGATATTAGAATCATATTAGATTTGAGATATATGAATTAGAGATTGAGAATGATTTGTTGTTTCTTTTTCTTTATTTTTATGTTACCTATAAATATACATGGTCTATGTATATTTTGGGGGTGATTTTTGGAAGAAGGAAAAAGGAATAAATTTTCTCTCTATAGAAAATTAGGGTTAGTGTTCTCATCTAATGGAGGCTCCCACAAGCCTAATTTTCCAAGGTCATTCATGGAAGCTTATGAGTGATTCCTAAAGGCAAGACCGTTACCAAGAAGATGGAGATCCATGGAAAAGGTGTCTAGCAAAAGGGATCTACAATAAGTGAGAACATTCACTTTAGAGGAGAGATCTAAGGTTTACTCAAACCTTGATGTAAGTATTCAATCTTTTAATTGAATGATACATCAAGTTTTATTTTTGCATAAAACTTGTCTCTATGTGATGAATCAAAATCTATGAATTTAAATCCCTCGAAAAGTTTTTAAATATTGCACGTTTCCCAACAGTGGTATCAGAGCATGGTTTGATTCATTACTAGAGATCATGTTTTTATCAAAATCATCATCATGGATCCAAGTTATATATATATATTGATGTATGTTAATGTATGATTTAATATATTGATACATAATGATGTATGTATAATTGTGAATGGATGATGATGAATGTTTGGGCCATGGATGAAGCTTATAGGTTATTGGAATGTAATTTTATCTTTAGATGAATGTAATTAAGGCTTTGATTTAGCCGTTTGAAAGTTCAATGATGTAATTTAATTTTTTCCATTGTATTTCAAATTGTAAATTTATTTAAAACCATGTAATATTCATCAAAGGGTGCTATGAAGCTTCAAGAAGGTCCAAAAGGGTTAAATTAGGCTTCAGAAATTTTCTGGAATTTTTTTGGAATTTTTCAAAATTTTGCTGGAATTTTTTGGGTTAAATTTATATTTTCTGGAATTTTTAAATAATTTTCTGAAAATTTTCGGCGATTTTTCGGCGACCGAAGTGTTGCCGACGGCAAGAATGGCGCCGGAATAAAGCCTGTTGATCCAGTGTAGCATGGTACACTAGCTTTTATTGCAACCGGATCATGAACCATTGGATCAGTTTATGGAAGCTGAGAAAGGATCCTATGTAGCGCAGGTACATGACAAGTTCAAGTTACACCCAATGAAGGGGAGCGTGAACATCACGCGCCAAGGGACGCAGACCAAAGAACCTTTCGGCGCATGAGAAGCACGCGCCGGTATCTAGTAGCTTGCTGGAGCGTGTTTAGCACGCGCTAAACCAAGCTGCAACATCCACGCGCGCGTGCAGGCGCGTCCACACGCTGCAGCGCCTTCCAGGCGCGTGCAAGCGCGTGGGGCCCTGTGCCACGCGCTGCTTCATCCCTCAGGCGCTTTCCAGTGCATGCGGGGTCCTCCGGGCGCGTTCCAAGCGCTGTTTTGCTATTCCAGGTGCTGTTTTGACCAATTCGAACGCGTACATGCCTCTGCAGGTGTTCACAAGTTTTTTATTGACCCTTGCGCAATACTTAGAGCAATTAAATGTTAAAAGCTAAATCCATTGGCCATTTTTATTTGCTTTATCTGTCATTTATTGATGTATGTGATGCATGGAATAGATAATTGTTTATTAATTATTATTCATTCATTGGATCCATGATATTTAATTAAATGACTTGATTTATATTAATTAAATTATGAAAATTAATTGGATTTGATTACTAATTAATTTGAGGGCACTTATTGGGAAACGAAAAATTATTTTTATAAATTATTTTTAAAGTGTGCTTCAAATTAAACATTAGTGAATCATTTAAATGTCCAAGTATTTTCTAAATTTAATTGGATTAAAATCAAGACGTTTTGCATGCATTATATCATGTAAATGAATAAATTCAAAACCCTAATTATTAATGATTAAAAATTGAGTGGGAGCGGGGATTTTTATACATTACCCCATGGCCTTCGTTAGTAAAACCATTGTAATTAGATCTTCAAAAATAAGGCTCCACGCATGATTTGAAGAGTCTTAATATTACAAGAATGGTTGTCTCATGAAAATAAAAATATTAAATGTTCATTGTAATTAGATCTTTAAAAATAAGGCCCTACGCATGATTTAAAGAGTTTAGATTATAATGACCACATATTTAATGTTTTATTTTTTTGTTAGAGCATTAATAACGTTATACACTCAATCTAAAATCAGTAGTGTTAGCTCCCCAACGGAGTGGTCTACACTAGGTGATTTTAGAAAGGCTAAACATAATCGGGAATTATTTCATATAGATTGACAAGGCATTGTCTTAAGAGATATGGAGATGATGGGATTTGCCCGCCAATAGCAATAATGAACTTCGCCAACCGAATAAGTAATTGGCGTATTGGTTATCCGATTTTTCATGCAGTGGTTAAGGGACCCACATACTATTTTAATGGAAGTGCTCGCCTAATAGTAAATGAATCTCAATAATGGTAATAATGAACTCTTCCAACAGGATAAGTTATTGACGTATTGATTGGTTGATTTATTATGCTACAGAGTTGAGGGACCTGCATTAATTAAAAGGGATTGTTCACCAATAATGATAATGATCTCTTGTTCGATTGAGATTTATTATATTATGTGGTTAACAAACTCATTTTAATTTTAAATATGCATGACAGTATAAATAATTCACCTTGCATATTGTATGAATGCATTTATATTCAGATTAATTATGTCTAATCCATGTTATCTGCTTGCTAACATATTCAATGTATGTGGACCTCTTTTATAATGACTGGAAAAGGAACTTAGATATTTTATTCACAACATAAGGGTACAAAATGTATTTAATACTCCTATACCTAATTCATTTACTTTAAGATACTTAATGAGATGTTTTAGTGAGATTAGATAGAGCATATGCCTAAGTACTGTGTCAAATTTAAATACCATCAAGATAGCCTGAAGAACTCCAGTTTGATATCGGATTTTGAAAAATAATTGTTTATTATTTAAAAATTGAACTGGAGGTCAATAGGGCTGACTTGAATGGTAAGTTTCAAATTGACATAATTATTGCCTTGTTACCAAACTGGTTCGGCTCTTTCAGAGTAAACTAAATAAGGAATCAGTTTGAGTTCACACTCGCTGATATTCTTATAGAATTGGTAACAGATAAAGGGATAATCAAAAGTATAGGCGTTCCTATTAATCTAACCTAGTCTATACCATCTTCTTCTAGGCCCAAGTGGAAGGGCAAAGTAAAGAAGAAGGATGATAATAGGACTAGGCTAGCACAAAACATGGGTATCCAAAAGGTTAAAGGGAATAAGGCAGTGTATGTTGAGGGCAAATTAAATTGTTTCTTTTGCTGCTAACGAAGACACTAAAGGACGAACTGTTTAAGCAATGACGTGGTATAGGAAAATATATATTTAATTCTTGAGCCATGTTATGTGGTTGTATCTATTAATTCCTGATGGATAGATTCTGGAGCCACTAAACATGTTTGCAATTCGTTGCAAGGATTTCAGGAATCCAGAAGCCTCGATGATATGGAATATATTTGTACTTGACCTGATGTCAAGGTTGTAGCTAAGTCAGTGGGAGTATTACATCTGAAATTAGAGAGTATGAGGATATTAGTATTAGAGAACTATCTTTACGCACAGAAGTTAGACGCTATCTAATTTTTGTTTCACTTGTGGTTTATAAAAACTGTGTTGTTATTTTGTAAAACTGGTTTTATAAAATTGAATAGATATGCGATTGCTTCTGGTGCATTGAAAGATGCTTAATATACTATAATCACAAACTTTTAAGATTTGCAGGATGAAGAAACTAATGTTGCATCTTCTAGATTGAATGTTAAGAGAAAAATTGTTATTCCTGACTCGTTGTATTTTTAGTGTCTATTTTTGGGTTGTAATCAATCAAAATGAGATTCAAAGATTAGTCAAAGAAGGTTTATAACCTAGTGAGGCAGAGGAGCCTAAACCAACTTGTGAATTTTATATTGAATGATAGAAAACCCTAAGGGCTTAATCAGCCAAATGAAATAGACATAAAGAACAATTGGAGTTGGTACACACAGACACGTGTGATCTTATGAACATCCAAGCAAGATTACTCACGTTTTGGATAAATTTATCTGATGCGACACAAGTCTTAAATTTTTGATATATTCCGAAAGTGTCAAGACTGACGTGGAGCACAAATTAGGTAAACTTATCAAAACACTTCGATCTGATCGTGGATATGAGAATTTCTTGGGATAGTGCAAAGACTATATAGTCAATGAGGGTATTGTGTACCAGTTTTCCGCAATTGACGCTCAATGGATTGAGGTGTCAAATAGGAATAACATAATTTCTGCTTAACATGGTTAGATCTATGAACAGTTATGCTACATTATCTCTTTCATTTAAGAGTTCAGCGTTAATGATGTCGATGCGTATTATGAACTGCATTCCATCTTAATCTGTCTCAAGGATACCGTTTGAGCTGTGTTTTTGACTAAATATTAGTTTGAATCACATGCACATATGGGGTAGTCTTGCACATGTGCGCTTGATATGGATAAGTAAGTTGGAAGCAGATCATAGGCATGCTAGATTTGATAGCTACTCTAAAGTCACTAGGATGGATTATTTTATGATCTCAAAGATAAAAGTTGATTGTTTTCACTCACTGTTTATCTATAGGAGAATCATATTATGAATCACATACCTAGTAGCATAATGTTAGAGAATTTGGTATGAGTACCAGATGTACCACATGTGAACACACTTATTATAGAGATTGAGAATAATATATGAATTCCCTATTGATGCGTTAGCATCATCTAGTACACAGATTCATGCATCGGTACATTGATGTAGTGGGAGGATTATCATCCAATCCGATAGAATCATGTTTTTAGGTGAGACCATTATAGACATCCCTGTTAAACATGAGTTGGACCCAGTTAGCTACATGGAAGCGTGAACCGATATGGATACAGATCGTTTTGGCAAGTTACTATGAAATCAAAGTTGGAATCTATGTATTCTAATAAATTCTGGGATCTTGTAGAACTTCCTAGTAGGGTGATTCCTATGGAAGGCAAGTTAATCTACAAAAAGATACCAGAAGATTTCTTAGTGAATAAATCATGAGTGTACAAGGGAATGTCATTATTTTTCTGATTCTATATATATTGATGACATCCTACTCATTTAGAATGATGTGGAAGTTTTGTCATCGATAAAGAGGTAGTTGTTCAATTACTTTTAAATGAAGGATTTTCAAGATGTAAGCTATATTCCTAGGATCAAGCTTTTGCAAGATCAGGTTAAAAGGAAAATAGGCTTATCTTAATAATCCTACATTGATAAAGTTTTGACCAGGTTTGGTATGCATAACTCAAAGAATGAGTTCTTGCTTTATTGATATGGATCGCTCTCTCTAGTAAGTAGTTTTCCAAGACTATCAGAGGAGATTGAGCAAATGAGACTGGAACTGTATGCTTTGGCATATGGGAGTCTCATATATGCCATGGTCTATACCAAACATGACATCCGCTACATAGTAGGGATAGTCAGTAAAGATAAGTCCAATACTGGACTTGACAACTGGTCTGTTGTGAAAAATATCATTAAGTACCTAAAGAGAACCAATGATCTCATACTCATTTATGGATGTGATGATATGGTCCTAATCAAGTATGCTAGTTCTGATTTTCAATCAGAAGTAAATACTATGAGGTTCATGACTTAGTGTATGTTCACTTAATGGAAGGGAAATCAGTTGGTAGATTGTTAAGCAGATTTCAACTGCTGACTCAAACCTGCAGGTGGAATATATTGCAGCCTTAAAGGCGGCAAAGGAAGCCTATTGGTTTGATCTCACTGATTTAGAGGTTGTGGAGTATACTAGCCTGCCTATTGAGCTATGCTGTGACAATAGTGCAGAAGTAGTCCAAACCAATGACCCAAGGTTCTATAGAGGAACAAGATACACTGAGAGGAAGTATCATGTTCTACATGATATTGTCCGGCAAGAAAATGTACTTGTAGCTAGAACATTGCATTGGAATACAACTTTGTTGATCCATTATCAAAGGTGTCATTGATCAATAATTTTGATCATCATTTGGATAACATTGGAGTTAGGTGCAATTTGAATTGGCTATGAGGGCAAGTGGGAGCTGTTAGGATTTATATGCCCTGGCATAGCAAATTCCTGTTTAGATTAAAGTGACATATGTTCCTGATGTTTCTGAAATATTTATGTTTTATACAATTGGTGAATTCAATGTATTATATTTCGATTCATTATAGAATTGATAGTGTCCATTTGATTACAAGATATATTTATATATATGTATGTGATGGCAGTCAATGCATGATATATAAATAGTAATCATAAATAGTTCATAGTCGGTAATTATGGATGGACTCATAATTAATTAAGATTTGAACTGGATCCGCGTTAGGTTGAGATATATTGCGAGAGCCGTCGTATGCAATTGCTCCCTATCACCGTCATGGCATTTGACTCTTAAGCATGAGAAAATTATAGACTCTTTTATTAATTAATAATTACTTTGATTTGTTCGGCGGATTCTTCGGAATCCTTAGACCGACACTTTGGGTAGTTATGTAATTAATAGTTAGAGAGTTATATTTTCAATATTTGCATCATTGCTACTTGTATTTATTTTGTATTGATTGTGGTTGATCACAAAGTAAATTCGAAGGCCTTCGTGTGATTTTAAACAAAATGTTGCCTATAAATATACATGGTCTATGTATATTTTGGGGGCGATTTTTGGAAGAAGGAAAAATGAATAAATTTTCTCTCTCTAGAAAATTAGGGTTAGTGTTCTCATCTAATGGAGGCTCCCACAAGTCTAATTTTCCAAGGTCATTCATGGAGGCTTATGAGTGATTCCTAAAGGCAAGACCGTTACCAAAAAGATGGAGATCCATGGAAAAGGTGTCTAGCAAAAGAGATCTACAATAAGTGAGAACATTAACTTTAGAGGAGAGATCTAAGGTTTACTCAAACCTTGATGTAAGTATTCAATCTTTTAATTGAATGATACATCAAGTTTTATTTTTACATAAAACTTGTCTCTATGTGATGAATCAAGATCTATGAATTTAAATCCCTCGAAAAGTTTTTAAATATTGCACATTTCCCAACAGTTGTATCCAACATAATTACATTGGTTCTCGATTTTTTCTTTTTTCTTTTTGTAGGTAATCAATGCACATGTGTGCACACACTCCCCAAACTGGTTCAAGAGTTCGAAGTCATAATTTTTTAAAAAATCATTTCCTTAAAAAGCTGAGAATTAGTAAGCTGCAATCTCTTGCCATTTAGGAAAGAAAAGTTACCTCCAATAAGAATACCAACTCTTGTAGTTCCTCCACATTTACCAGACATGTATTTTGAGGCACTGCAATCAGAGTCTGATGACATGGCAATCAACAGATAGAAACAGGGTTAGCAAAGACAACATAGCAACTTCCAAAAAAAAAAACGACAACATTGTAAAGACTTGAAGAATTCACTTTAGTTACATAAAAAAGTCAGCATATATGAATATTCTTCAATTTGCATGTTGGAAAGAACATTCTATTAAACAATCAAAGCGTTTCTGGACTCCTTATTATCAAACGGCTTAACACATTTTTCATCACACGTAACTAAGAAAAGCAATTAATATGTTGAATAGATGGTACACTATTTCATGAATTTACAGAGTAAAACATCAATCTTACACATGCTTCCGTGGAAGAAAAGAAGAGAAACCTCTTAGCCTATTGTTTGTCCCAATCAAAGTCATCTTCAACATGGGGAAGATAGGAGGAAAGGGCTTCCCTTATAATTATGGTGTAATAATGTAACTCGTTACTTGTTTAAAGAAGGAAAAATTCCTGAAATGTCATGTGAGTGTTTTAATGTTCCTACATTTTGGCTAGTGTGGAATGAAACCTATGGTATTGCTATCCTCTTAATTTTATTGTTTGCAGTCGTCTATCTTACTCTTAATAAGCAAAGATTTGAAGCACAACAAAATGGAAAACATTAATAATATACTTCCACGTGTTTTGCCAAGTTGAAATGATGTTTTCTTTTCTTGTTGTGTCAACTAAATGGTGCACCCACGTTAATCACCTTTCCCATTAATTTGGAGTTCAGTCCATGATAGAAGGTTTAGTTCAGTATAGATGAAGAAGATTGGTCATCAGTTAAGCTTTGCTCACGTGTGCTTGTTTTCATTCATATCAAGAGCAAGTTAATATACAGCCAGTCTTCTTTTTCTTTTGACTTTTCCTCGTGTGAAATACATTTCTATCCATTGAGCATGTGTTCCATCTAATCTCAATCTATAAAATATTCAGATTCAACTTTAGAAGGATTTGACTGTGGAGATTGTTTATTGGCAAAGATAACTTTCAACCTGTATAAACGCTAATAACCAGGTATAAAAAAAATTCATGAAGGTCAAAATTTGATCACAAAAGCATGCTTTTTTGGCGTGACTTGACCGTTGCATCTCCAAACCATGTTCAATGTTACTTATTAAAAAAAATAAGACACGTGCAATGTACCATTAGTTGGTTTGACAAAACTTATAGCCTTAGAATGACCATGAAATTCACAGCAGAAGTGGTCAAAGATAGTAACCATGCTGCTTAATGATAGTTTAGACCAGTGCTCTGAATAATTTCATGATTTTTTTTTCAATGGGTGATTTCATGATTCTTTTTTTTTCGATGGGTGATTTCATGGTTTCAACATATATGTTCTCTTACAAACTCAACGGAATGAGATTCATTCTCCAAAAATTTCCAGTTTTCCTCACCATTGTATAACTACTTTTATATCTCGAGTATTTTAACCATTGACAAGAAATTTGATAAAACTTTAATAATCAGATTAAACGGTAAGTCCCAATAAGCAGAAATCTCTCACGCAGAATGACTAAACATTATTAATGAGCCTTGAAATTACAAAAAAATTACTGCCAAAAGATATGAATTATCATGGCAATTCTATTTGGATGACATGTTACTTTACTTTGCTTTTCATAGTTTTAGGAATTAGTAATTAGAAAGAAAAGGCAACCAACAGTTCCATTCCCCACAAACACTGCGGGTTCCCAACGCACCAAAAATAAAGTGAATACCTAAAGTCAACCCACTGGGATGATAGATGGGGAATATTCAACAGACTACAATACCGTTGAATAGTCTAAATATTAGAGGCCAAAATGACCAATTTGCCCCCATATGCATAGCATCATTCACATAAAGCCCCTCAAAGTTCCAGGGTTATTCTAGTCTTTTGCACAGATAAATATTCCCAAACCTCGCGTCCCACCACATCTTCGTGGAATGCCCAAATTAGTTAAAGAAATAAATGGCACCCAACCAATACGTATCCCACTAAGCACTTGTCAAGAGTCAAATCTAATTAGGCCATCCACCAAAAACAAAATAAAAAAAACAGTAATAATTAAGCAAATTTAAATTCCGGCAATTAAGACGTACCTTTCCGGCAACCATTGCCGCCGACGAATCCATCGCCCTTAAACCCTTTCCGGCACTGGCATCGAAACCCTTTACTTCCATCGGCAAGGGTCACAATTGTATCATCCGCATTTGGATCACAACTGAACGCCCCTAGCAACCACCATTGCAGCTCCACCGTTTGAAACTCGAGCGAAATCACCGGATTCTTACTCGAATTGCTACCCAAATCGACGGCTATGGAAGAGAACACGAAATTACAGCCGGTCCGGGTCAAGTTATTGTATGTCATGAACTCCGACTCTGTCTTCTCTTCTGAATAACAAGTGATATTATCATTACTCGAATCGCAATTTTCCAACTGGAATTGACTCTGTAGCATACTCCTCGGTATCACGCAACCGCTGAGCGGTGAGCTACAATTTTGCAAGAGAAGGCCGTTTCGCCAAGTCAGGGCATAGTTTCTGCCGAAGAGTTTCCTGATGTCACTGATTGAACGGTTGCAATTAGCCGGAAGATTGATCAATATGCTATCTGATGTGACATTCCGAACATGGAATTCGCCGATGCGAGCTTCGCCGTGGCTACAATCCAGAAGAACTTCACAGTCGCCGGAGAATCCAAAGGGAAAAGGAAAGCGATTGTGATTTCCTTTACCGAATCCGCAGGTTCTGTTGCAATTGTTGGCTTTGGCGGAAGAGATGATGAGAGTTGCTACGACAAGGATGATTGTGAATTCACGAAGAAGAAACATATTCGACATGGATTGAACTGAATCGAACTGAATTTGAAGTCAACACAGCAATCATCACCTTTCTGCAATAGGAAACAATCGAGCTAAATCGATATCGAACCAGCGATCGCATTAAAAACAAGAAATGTGATTTCTGCTCTAGCAAAATAAAACTTTGACCTCTACCATTTATTGAGAAATTAAGAGAGCAGTTGATGTTGTTGAGGAGGTCATGTTTCTCATTAAATGCTCATACAAGATGATCATATGTATTAACTACATATATGTATGTGTAGAGAGAGAGAACGCGTCTATATAAGTATTAATGCGATGTTTACCTCTGCACAAATTCAATGGCTGTAATTGCTCTGTGATTTGGAAGTAGAAGAAGCAATAAGAGCTTTGACAATTCAAATTTAATGAGTCTAAAGGTATTCTACAGTCGTCCTCTCAGCCTGCAAATTAGGGTTTTGATTTGATCGAAAGCGTGAAATTCCGATCAGAGAGCTTCCTCCTCTTTTTCACGCCACTCTGCTACTCCGAATGGCACTGAAAAAAATAAATAAAAGTCATAATGTCAATTGCGGATGCGGTGCGTTTTGTTAAATGACCTTTCTGTCCTTCCGTTTCTCGAAATGCTTGAATATCATGAACACTTTTTTATTTACATCAATGCCCCGATTATTACAATTAATTTACCTATTTAGTCCGAAGATGAAATTGTTAGTTAGAAACTTGGAACTTAGAAGAGACTGAAAGCTTAATGAGACAAGTGATTTAATGAAGAAAAAAAATAAATAAAATGACGGCATTTCCTCCTAATTGAAATACCAAATGGCCTCTTTGGGCCCTTACTTCCAAACTCGTCACTAATCTTTAATTAAGCAATTGAAAGGGACACTGATTTGAGTACTATTTAAAATTAAGCAATTTATTCAAACGATTATTCTATGTAAATTGTGTTATGTTGAGTATTGAATTAACAGTTTGAATTTTAAATTTTAAATTCAAAGCATTGATTTAGTGCTTCTTAGTGCAACATAAACTTTATTAATGAAACAATGTTTCATTTGACATAAACTTCCAAAAATTATAATGATGTAACAATTCATTAAAAAAAAGCAGTTAGCTAGTTTGTGCAGACATTAATCTTATACATGCAAATATTATATCTAAATATATGAACTAGTTTTATCACATTTTTGCTCCCGCTTTACTATATATTTCATTATGTCGATACATATATATACACATCTTTGATAAAAACTTTAGTGAATGAATTTAAGATAAGTGTGAGCACATCATTTTGCCTCCAAAGCTAAATAGATCCATTGACCAAAACTAAGTTGAATGTAATACTAATAAATGATTTTGAAAGAGTAAAAAAAAAAAAAACAAACAAACAAAAAAAACAAAACATGTAATCAACTTTGTGATGGTAATAATTGTTATAAAGTTTTGAGTGGGTTGTAATTATTATTGTTATTTAGGAGTACTTGGTTGTCATTTTTAATAAAATCTTAGACTTCCATCCCTTTCAACGACTTAACGAAACGAGACGGCCCAGCCGAGTCTTTGGGCAAACACTTTGAAGCTTCATCGAAAAAAAAAAAAACAGAAGACTAACACCTGATTTGATTGTTTAATATATATAAATATCTCTCTCCACATAGCCAAATTCGTTGACTGAACAACTCCTATTTTTCTAGGCCTCTGACCATTAATACGCGGTACACAACGACAAACACGTGAACACGTGGCAAGCCTTTATTCATGCATTATCTATCTATATACGTGTGCCATCACGCGTGTACATGAACACACACTAAGTTCATGTTGTTTACTGATATTTTTAATGAATATAAATTGCTCAAAATACACATTTAATTTATTTTAAAGCAATGATGTAATAAAAGAAACTTTGATATTACAAACTTGAGTTATATATTGAATTTTATTTGTTTGGTGTATGTCAGTCGACAAACACATTTGGCATACCATCACATGACGATTATACCATTTGAGATTTATAAAACAAGTGCTTCATACATATTTTAAGAGAAATATAAATATGTGATGTTGCAATCCATTGTTTTTATTAAGAAAATCTTAAGCATATATTTTTTCTATTATTTTCCAAAGAGGAATGATTTCTTTTTCCATTTCTTTTACCAAATTCAATCCAACCTCAGAACAGCTGTTCTAATTGTCAAATATTTCGAATTATAAACAATCCAGTCATAAAAATTATATTTATCATTTTTTTTTTATAAAAAAAGATAAAAATTGTTTACAGACTTGGGTGAGTTCTAGTTTGCCAAATAGCGTGCTGGATGTGATAGATCAAGGGCTGAATTTAAGCATGCAAATATATATATGTATATATATATATATATGTAAGGAATATGTGTGGATGAATTTTGCACGAATTTCGTGAATTAGTCAAGTAAAAATTATCGGAAAAAGGAAAAAGGAAAAAGGACAAAAAGTTAGATCGATACTGTCTATGCTATTATGCTATATGCGTTCTTTAATTTTGTAACAAGTGTTTATACTGACAAATATATGATACATAACTATGATAACTTGATTGTAGAAATGCTTAACATATACCCGGAGTTAAAAATGGAAGGTGACAAGTGCTAAGTCAAAAAACAATTAGAAGAGTGACATGCAAAAGCAGTTGAACAACCAGAAAGGTGAGTAGCAGGTGCGGCTCAAATCCACCACTGGAGTTGCATCCATGACTTTTTTAGTTGGTTATCATCCATATATATATATATGTGTGTATGAAACTCAATCCCTCCCAAACTTTAGTGTTTTTACATTTTGTGAGAGTGAAATGAGTTTATTTAATATTCCTTCAATCAGAAAAGAATTATTTTATTGGTGATTGTTTGTTACATGTAGTATAGAGATGGTGAAATCTAAATAATTTCACAAAAAATCATTTTTGATAAAGTTGTTTCTAGATCATTCACGCGCACACATATTTGTTTTCCATAACCAATGTAAAAAGCTTTGCTCAAACTTGAAAGACCTTGGGGACCATTGAATATGACATGCTTTGGCTATATTATTTTATTTATTTTAGGAAAAAGAAAATTTATGATAAAAATAACATCAAGTAGGCATGTCGGCCAAAAATCCCAATCCGGATTGGTTGTTTTTCCAACAAGCTTTTTTTTGCTCATCTCAGGAGCAACTCCATTATATACTTTGGCCGGAGTTGGGGTCACTTCAATCATCATCGTGGATGCAACTAGAGGGGGCTAGGGCTCCCAAATTTGTTTGAAAAACGCTCAGTCCTTAACTAATAACAATTAAGAATAATGAGTTCCAAAAAAAAAAAAATTTACTTGTGACGCTTTCAAAATTATTGCGAATTGCTACAACATATTAAAGCTCCATTCATATATATATCTACTGTATATATACGTGTGTGTGTGTGTGTGACATGGCATGGGGTGACATGGCAGGTATGTGCATAAAGTATTTACCTCGTACATATCTAATAATCTCCTCGCATGTATCTCTTATTGCCTTATGAAGAGAGAAGGCAATAAGAGAACTTTTTGAGACTGAGTTGACTCGGCAGCGAGGCAGAGCCACGGCCAAACCCGGAAATTCCAGCGGGTTGACGGGAAGAAAAGAGAGAATAGCCGTCGCCTCCACTCTCTCTACCTCTGGCCTCTCTCCAAGCCGCCTTCTTCCTCTTCTTCCTCCTCCTCGTCGTTGGCGTGGCCGTGTCTACCTCCTCTGCCGCATCCGACGGTTCCGGCGAAGCCCGCTACCGCTAAAACTCGCTGGGGAAAGGATGAGGTTCATCTCTCGCTGTCTCTGCTCTCGATTCGTTACTACGAGAAGATGAATTTCAATAACCGAAGCAAATGACTTGAACTTAAGCTTGAATTTGTCTGGATTCTGCTTTTAATTTTGGCTTTTCGTTTAATTCGTATCATTATATGTGTTTGTATGATCATATCTGTATCCTATCTATGTGCTAGTTTCTTGATTTCTGAGATCCTTTGTAAATTTAGATATGATTGATCTATTGTGTTATAATTCTATAATTAAAGGTGTGATGTGATTGTGATTTTTATTTTCTTTCACTGAATCGAACTTCCGTGATGTACGTGTTTGGATCTGAGGAAAGTGAGGGAAAAGAAAAGTTTTTTAGGTGGGTTATCCTGGTGTGAATGGAGGCCATATGTGGATGCATTTTCTGAGTTGATACAAGCAGAAGGAAACAAAGGGTTGGAGTTGTTAGTGGCCACACTTTCTGGCTATTTGCGCACAAAGATTTTGGAGGCTAGATGGGCGAGGGTTTGGTATGGATCTAGAGATGGAGATGGGTTTGTGTGGGAATGGGAGAGAGGGATGGTAATGGTGGAGGACGTTGATGAAGAGAGGAGAGAAAAAGCAGAGGAAAGAAGAAAGGGAAGCCATGGGTCTGCCTTCTTTTGGCCCACATATATTCGAATATGTTAAGTATGTATTTTGTCTGCAGTATTTGTATATGATAAAAAAAAATAAAGTTTAAAAGTTACTGCTGACTTGGTGCTTGGTGTTTCGTCATCGCTGGCAAGGCAATGACATGACAAAATATGCTGACGTGTTTTCATCCCAACCTTTGGATCTGTCATGGATACCTTCCAGTGAAAAGTGCCATGGAGAGGGGAGAATATTGGGTACCCCAAGGGTACCTCGTCAGCTTGTCCACCTGGTACCCCAATCCAATAAAAACATGACAACTGGCTACCTTTCCACCTCAGCTTCCTACTCAACATGCCATTAACGGAGACGGCGTCAACTTTGTTAAAAAAAAAAATTAGCGTTGACCGGATTGAGGAATCATCTTCACCATCGCCGGCCCTACCAACCAGCAGCCATCGCCGAGCACAAAGCTCGTTCTCGGGTAGCCCAGAAATGTCCCTTATGATCTCGCCGAGTTGGCTCACCAACGAGTCTGAGCTAAAGACCCACAAGAATTAAAGATTAGAGACCCAGATGAGAGAATTGCTTGAATCTGTAACGCGGAGTTACGAGACATACGCCATAGTTTTGAAGGTCAGAGCGCCGCCGGCGCCAGAGAAGATGGCGCGTTGAGCACCGGTCGATTTGGTGATAGTATTAGATGTGAGCGAAGCGTGACGGTAGAGAAATTGTAGATGATGAAACACGCGATGCGATTGATCGTGTCGTCTCTTTCATCCGCCAATCGTCTCTCTATTGTGGCTTTCTCGGCGAACTCCAAGAGGTTGTTGCCACTGAAAAGAATGACGGTGAACGGCCTGTCATCGGCGCGTCGAATCGCCGACGCACTTGTGGCAGGCCAAGGCTCGAGTTTCACCGACGCGCTGAAAAAAGCAGCGAAGGTGTTAGAAGACGTTCACGACGGGCCAGTCTCTGCCGGTAAATCGGCGATGGAAAGGCGTCAATCCTCCGTCGTCTGTTCCACGCACTACTCACACCTCAAGATCCCTGTACACGCCTTTGGATTTAGCCAAGGTGGCGCGTACGGCAACGCCTTCGCCAAATTATGGTCAGTT